CAGGCCGTTACGGAAGTGGCACCCCAATGCGGTAACTAGTATCCCTATAACTTACAACCAGTATGAGACAAAGATGAGTACGGGGACCGAGTAGATGAGCTGCAGTGACGTCCAGTCCTTGACAAATATCGGGAACACCCCAGACAGAGCCTCGCCGATGGCGAAGAATATGTTGATGATAATGCCGCAAAAGGCACGGACTTCTATCGACGTGAATTCTGTACCTGGAAGATGCCATTGGCAGACATTTTGTCATAGTTGGATGTATTCTCCATATTGCTATGCCTACCTTTTTGACAAAATGAGAAAGAAACGAAAGTTATGTTGCTATAAAAAAGCAGTAATTTATTATAGCAGTAATTTAGAATTAATCTTCCACTTCTATTTTAGCGGTCAATGCACTAGCCACTATTCTCACTAACACGTAACGTTTTATTCATTTTGTATGTTTTGTCTAGCCTATTGGAGGGTCCAAATGCCAGGTATTCTTATTAATGGCTTATTCATGTCATTGATATGAAATACAATTTCAAATACTATTAGTACTATTACAGATAACACCAACAAATAATAAACAGTGCTGACATTTTCTTAAAAAAAAAACTCTTGGATTGGAAGAACGCTTACACCAGACAAAGGCGACTCCGAACAGTCCGTACTGGCAAATGGAGCTCAGAAACCTCATGGCCGTGAATGTGCCGTAGCTGGAGGCCAGGGCGCCGAGACCGCCGAAAAGACCCGTGCCGACGATGCTGCACATCAGAGCTATCATACGGCCGTACCTGGAAAGGGATGGAGTATCTACATCAGACGACATACGACTGTATGTACCTGGAAATGGATGAACTGTCTACATCAGGCGACACACGGGCTACTTGATAGACGACAATGTGCATGCATCAGTAAGGAATCGTATCTGAGGCCATGCTACACAGAGTACCACATACAGTACTACTAGGTAAGAAGTATTTATGTGTGGTGTTGGTTTAGATACTTTCTGTCCAATCAGGTGCATAGGCCTATACATATTTATAAATGCATAGTTATACATTCAGTGACTATCGGATAAGATATCAATGATTCAGAATTGGAGAGTTCTAACTCTCCAACTCCGACTACCGGTGATACCCGGAAGCCAAAGATCATGAAATGTCAAGATCAAGGTCAATTATCTAGAAAAGGATCAATAAATGAGAATGAAACACGCAAGGAAAAGATAATATGTACAAAAGTAGGGGGCTTCTGAAAGCTGTTGTGTGATTACTTAGGACGATTGTAGTTATTCACTTTACAGTGGACCCACCGATCGGCCACGAAGCCACTTATGACGGAGCCGAGCGCTGTGCCCACGAAGAACAGACTGCTGACCAGTGGCTGTAGCTTGGCACTGTCGCAGACCAGGTCAAACTGCAAACACAAGGAACATGTCAAACTGGGAACACACGCTCCAGGTCAAACTGGAAACACATGCACCAGCCAATCTGGAAACACACAGAACAAGTCAGACTGGAAACACAAAACACAGAGGATACATAGAGACAGAAAAGCTAGCAACCGATGTTAGTTTAACCCTCGCCCTGGCAGGGGGGGGGTCGATGCGACCCCCCTAAGGTTTTTCAAAAAATAGCGTAAAAATGGCCGCGCGCAGCGCCGCAAAATTTGGTACAGCCTATGGGGCAACCTTTTTACATATGACCTGAAAATTTCAGGTCCAGGTGACCTTGGGTCAGGTCACCAGGTCAGAAAAACCGGTACAAGGTCATGGTCAAATTTCAATTTTCTTTTTGCACCTGTCCAACTCACAGTTTTCGACTGATTTCCTTCAAACTTTCAGGATGTGCTACGTTTACCGAGTTGTATAACATATAGTTCGGGTTTTTTGAGGTCACTGACCTGAGGTCAGTTAGAGGTCATTACGTCGTAATGTTAAGCCTATGGGAAAATACTAAATTCGGAAAATACTGGAGATATCCGCTTCGTTCTATCACTTTTGTGCTTTGAAACCACAGTACTTAACAGCAGGTGACTTGGTGCTTCTTTGTTTGGTGTACTTATCCATGGGTCAGGTCAAATGAGGTCAACTGAGGTCAAATGACGTTTTTGCCAATAACTTGGCACATAATGACGCTAGAGCTTAAAAATGGTATCATTGTGTTCCTGGTGATCAGCCAAATCGAATGATATGCGATATGATGCAATTTGGCTAACTTGAACTTAATTTATTAATTTAAGTTTACTTAAAATTTAAGAAAAATATTTAAGTACACTTAAGCAAGCTAAAAGTATATCATTCGACGCGCCTTGACGTGCGGAGTTCACTGGTGCTTTTCTTTTCGCTCTATCTTAATTAGATCAAAAGTTATATAAGCGAAAAACTTTTGACCTGTTTTTTGCGACATTTTTACATTTATTCCCCCCAAAACCCCCCTAAATATTGACCTAGAGCAACCAAATTTGCACAGGGGCGAACTCCAGGGGGCCCACCTACCTACCAAATTTGGTGTTTCTAGGTGCCATAGGAGCCAATCGCGAGGGGGGTCGCATCGACCCCCCCCCCCCTGCCAGGCCGTGTTATGAAAAATGCCCTGCCAGGGCGAGGGTTAAAACAGTACGAGGCCAAATGGGGCTTTCGAAATAGCTGCAGTATCCCACCTCGGACACCACGGTGCTCTCCATGACGGACTTGTCGTACACCCAGCGGGAGCACGACTCGGTCTGGTTGGTGAAGAAGCTGGTGTTGGTGCAGCCTCCGACTGAGGTGGGCCGGTACCTCTGACAGCGGCTCCACGTGTGGTCGGCGTCCGCCGGCGTGGACCAGCGCAGGAACGGTGAGTCGTAGGTGGCATTGCTGGGGTCCTCGCACTCCTCCACCAGACACCTGCGCAGGGAAGCACCGGGGGCGGGGAAGTGTTGGGATTGGAATATATGGTCAATACCAAATTTAGGCATTATGTTTTCACCGATAGAATGTGGAGAACACTGCGACGCTAAGACTTTTCCTAAAGCATTTTACAATACTCTTCGATACAGCATAGAACATAAGCTGGCGCGGGCGTCGGTTCACCAGTTCAGTGCAGCGGTTCGGCAGTTCAGTGCAGCGGTTCGGCAGTTCAGCGGGCGTTACCTGTGGTCGCTGATGTATCCCGTCCACGAGTAGCCGACAGTGACGGTGGCCGCGAAGATGGGCGTCAGGCAGGCCAGCAGGTAGACGGCCTTCTGGTAGCGGCCCCAGCCGTTGATCCTCTCCAAAACCTCCTCGACGTCCATCGTCGACTCTCGCTGACCACGTTACAGTACTCCCGCAGACTAGTGCTGGGAGTGCGGCTGCAACCTCCCTACTGTCGTAAGGACAGCGGAGCAGGTAACGAGCGATGCTGATTATATATGAATAAATGAATGAATGAATAAATGAATATTTCTAGCCGCGCAATAAGTTCATGGCGACATTGAACGATTGCTAAAAAGCAGCCACGTTGTTCTACAAATTTCCACTTGATACTACTCATAGCACAAACAATGCCAGGCACATAGTTGATAACATCCTTAACCTCTGTAATGCTCAATATCCTTATCGGATATTGTCTGTTTAGAAATCATCAAAAACGAAGGAAATGAACATCATCCGTCAAAACCTAATCACAATAGCCGTTTTCACGACGGTTTTTCTGGCGAATGCACTTAGCCTGACCAAATCTAACCAAATTCGTTTTAGAGCAAATATTTTTACAGCTTGAAGTTATGTTAATGTTTTGATCGAAAATTATGTCTGATGATTTGGTAAATACGGTATATAAGCAACTATTCCAAATTCCTACCCAAGCTGAAAATAACTATGAAGCACCCATGAACCCAATTTGACCAAATCGCATTAAATGTGACCAAATGTGTGTCAGATAACCTTCGTGAAAACGGGTAACGTCTGATAGCTTTCATATTATACGTAAAATAACCATTTTACTCGGAAATGTAAAACATATATAGACACCAAATACGATTGAAGTACATTACAAACTTATTCATAAGAGCCTCACCTTCTCAACGAGTCTCCAACAGCATACAAGCATAACGATTTCAGCCAAATTACCGAAACAAGCGATCAATCGTCTAGAAGCACCGCGACGCTATATAACAAGGATTCACTGTCACATGATGGAGCCGAAAGCCACCTCAAGCTGTTGGTCTTATCAAGGCATCTGCCACCTCTAGAGCATGGTCACGCTCTTATGGTTTTATCAGCTACGTCACAGAGATGGCAACTCAAAGATACGGTCTGATATGATTGTGATGGATCAATAGTGTTTAGCTCTGCTAATACCTACTTAATAATTGATTTACTCACGCGAAAGGTACTTATATTGCTTGTCTATTTTATAGTTCTATAGTATTGTTTTTGAAACGCAATCTTCCAATAGTAATGCTTAGATCAGTAATATAATACTACATACAATATCGGAATTGTACAACATGTGTACAATTCCCCTATATTGTACATTTTCAAATTTACCACAGCGAGAAATTATAAAACCCCTTCAATAACAAAGATTTTGTTCAAATACAAACGAGAAACAGAACGGAGACGAAGATGAAAGGGAGCGGAGAGAACTGAAACGAATAAAGAACGGAGCTGAAGCGGATAGGAAAAGGACCAGGATAAAAAAGGCTGGGTTCGGACAGAAAACGGACCGGAAATGGACTGCAGACGAACCGGAAACGGATCGGAAACGGAAAAGGTGTGGGAAAGGATGTATGATAATGAGACCAATTCAAAGGTTGAGGCCACGTGTATCCTAGTATTATGATTTCCGAGTTACCGATGGACTAACCTTTGAGTTATTCTCGGTTTTGTCAAAAAAAAAATGCCTGCCACACAGTAAGAGCCCTGTACTTATACAGCACACACTGACTGCATACACACATAACCTACAGCCGACCATTCATTCATCACACTTCTCGCGATAATGCCGTAGGCTCCTATCTGCGGTTACATCAAAGACATGGCCGAGAACGCCAAGTGGTGCCGCGCTGTTGACACAGCGTTTGGTCAGTGTTCTTCGGTTGACCGCCGTGGCGGAAGGCTCCTTAGCTGTTTAGGTGTAAGAGGATAGCATAGGTATAGCGCAGTTTGATATTGCACTGTCCATAGTCTTGGGCTTATTCAGGTGAGCGGCTTTCAAAAGGAACCGGGGCTGACGTATAGGTAAGTGTGACATCGTCAAAGTTCTAGAAAAAAAAACGATAAAGTCAAGGTATCCAAAATAAACGAAGGATTATGCATGCACCAAGGCATAACTGAAGTAATAATCACAGCATATATTCAATCTTTCCGAAGAGGAAACGTCTTAAATATAAAAAAGTTTCTATATACCTAAGAAATAGGTACCTAAGAACGAACACAGGTACGAACACATGCAAACATAATAGATATACGTTTGGCCGCATCTATCCATATACACGCATATTCATATGTACAAAGTGTATTTAGGCATAAAGAAAACAAGCCGTGTATATTCTGTTCCAACGACTCTCATACCTACACCAGGCTGCTGGATATATCGAGCAGCGAGCCACAATGGACGTAGACGCCATTTTGGAGCGGATCGGCGGCTGGGGTCGCTACCAGAAGGTGTTGTACGTGCTGGCCGCCCTGCCGTCCATCGTCGGCGGCATGGTCACCTTGGCCTACTCGTGGACGGCCTTCTTCATGGAGCACAGGTGATGGCACGGTTGACATAACGCAGCCGACAGATAGGGCCCTGCGGTCACTCTGTGTATTTCATTTACATATATGCTGTGTAAAGTTCTGGTCATACTCCGCACCTTTCAGTGAGATTAATTTGCTCATCAAAGTACAGTGTGTGCCGCTAACGAGATAGTAGTTACGAAAGGTGCCAAAGTGATGAAATTCGACAAGAGTAAGAGTAATAAGAGTGGGAAGCGGTTGTGATTCACCAGCCAAATCTTGCAAGCGTTTCGCGTTTATACATTTGAAATGCATTACTGTGAGACACATGCCGGCTCAAATATACATATACGATCCAGTGCCTGTCTTTCAAACATATCACCCGCGCCGTGTCATGCATGATGCAGATGTCTGGTGGAAGAGTGCGAGGACCCCAGCAATGCCACCTACGACGCGCCGTTCCTGCGCTGGTCCACGCCGACGGACGCCGACCACACGTGGAGCCGCTGTCAGAGGTACCGGCCTACCTCAGTCGGGGGCTGCACCAACACCAGCTTCTTCACCAACCAGACCGAGTCGTGCTCCCGTTGGGTGTACGACAAGTCCGTCATGGAGAGCACCGTGGTGTCCGAGGTGGGGCATTAATAAAAAAAAACGACTCTCACCACTGCAAAAACATAAATAAATCGTTGCAAGAAAGTACTGATCCAACGGGGTTGTTTCTTGCCGTTGACTTTTTTCAGATGTGGTGCGCTTTCCGGATGTTCTTAGTCTTAGCTTTCTCAGAGCAGAAAACATCACGTCCTCTAGCTAATCACGAAATTTATGTACCTATGTCTCATGTCTGGAAGCAGTATACACCCTTACTACTAGCGCAGTTTATTTTAATGACCTCAGAGTATCATTTACATCTTGTCTACAAACCTACGTTATTGTGTTTTCAGTTTAACTTGGTCTGTGACCGTGAAACTCTGTGGCCGCTGGAAAACAGCCTTTACTTTGTCGGCGTGGCCGTTGGCTCGGTGCTGGGTGGCGCACTCGCTGACCGGTTAGTTATCTATTTTTCCTCCTATCTTCTCGCACTCAATGTATGTATGTACCACTATGAACCAGTGAGCACAATTGATCCCTCAGTGGACTTAACCCTCGCCCGCACATGCCATTTTCCCATCCTAGAACGCACATGGGGGGGGGGGGGGGTTGCCACCCCCCCCCCCCTGCGCCATTTCGTTCCTGTTGGAGATAGAGCTTAGCAGTAAAGACCAAAAAGATTCTTTGGGAAGAGACGAATCCAAAGATACCCAGTTTTACCTTCTCAGGTCAGTCATTGACCTTCCAGGTCAGGTCAAACTAAAAAATGTTGCTGTTTTGGGTCACCGTTGGATATCAAGTGCGCTGCTTATCAAATACCGATGACGATGCTGTTTTCTGGTGCCAAGCCAGCTAGAACCTCTTTGTCACACTATCCGACCAGAATTTTGCTGCTGAGGTCATTTCAGGTCAAGTTAGGTCAAGGTCAATTATATGTGTTTGTATGTCTGTGTGTGTCTGTGTGTATACTGATGTGTGCACCGATTGTTTTTGGGTCCATATCACATGAAATCATGATCTGAGAAGCTTTTACCAAAAATGCAGTCAAAAAACTTCACAAAAAGTAAATTCAGCTTGCCTAAAACGCAATTATCTTAGATGACCTAGGTTGACCTTGACCCTGACCTTGACCCCTGTACATCGTCGAACAACATGTTCCATGATAGGTGGGAGGTAAGACTGGCAAAAAAGGCCGAAATCAGGGTGTCAAAAGCTCACAAGGCCCATGGCAAACGCAAGATGTTGAGAATTGGCCATTTGGGTCATGGCATGACCTGAAAAACAAGGTCATATCTCCGAAACCAAAAATCACAGAAACTTGAAATTTTCAGTGGACATCAAGAAAGGATAGACGAGAAGCTATACGCAAAATCAGCCTTCTAGCTCTAAAAATGTTGAGTGCAGAGCAGAAAGACTGCCTGGGGGGGGTGGCAACCACCCCCCCCCCCATGTGCGGGCGAGGGGTGGGTCCCATCGCTTACTGCAAAGTGTTTTTTAAGCATTGCCCACTGAACATTATGCATAAATGCACATTGCACAATGTACTTACATTACAATATGTAGGCACATATCAGCGCAGCAGCATCCTTAGTTGTTGAGCTGTTGCCACAGCCGCCGTTGAACTTCCTGTTCCAAGTCTGATATGAAGGTATCCAGCTGAGATTGAGTACCAAAATATTGCGACATCCGTTGGATCTACACAATGGGCCATGGGAATAGATACGGACGCATTCCCGTAATGCACACTCTGCTCATGTTCGGGTGTCCTTTGAAGTCCCACGGACCACGAAGAGCACATGTTCTGGAGCAATTATCTCATCTGAAAGAGCCCTTGTTTGCTAGGAAGATAAATGTATCATACTGCTATTTCGGTCTCTGATAATGTACGCTATCAAAGAACAATCAAAGCCTTATTAGCAGCGTTTCATTCACTCAATGTCAACTCGTCAAGGGCATAGTCAAGAGGTCTTCAGCACAAAATAACGTATTTTGAGACGCAATAACTGCTCTTCAGTCTCTAAGTAATGCCGAATGAGGAATGCTTAGATCCACCATACCTTATATCACACGTGGCATAGAACACCTGCACTTCCTCCGTTGCCCTGCGCCCCGTCAGGTACGGACGCCGCTTCACGCTGCTGCTCTGTGTGGTTCTGACGGCCGCGGCCAGCACGGCCGGCGCCTTCTCCCCCAACTACGGCACCTTCGCCACGCTGCGCTTCTTCGTGGCCGTCTTCCAGTACCCGCTGTTTGCGGCTCCGTTTGTCCTCAGTGAGTTCTCAGCCGCACCCTACCGCCGGCCGCTTAGCGTGAGTGAGCGATTGGAGTCGGCAGGATAGGGTGATGTGACGAGCATGATATGAAACAGATAGTTCGATGGATCGACGAAATTCATTGAATTCAGGCTGCTTTCATCACGATGCGTCAAAAGCAATTATACATATTACCGCATCAACTTTCCAAAAGATCTGTCAATATTCACAATGATTCAAAGTCCTGCGTTGTATTCAATATCGTCAGTTTCATTCCTCACTCTCTTATGTGTTCAGGCACTGAGATAACATCCGTCGAAATGAGGGCGGCCTGCGGCATCATGATGAACGCCTTCTTCGCCATCGGCGAGGCGCTGGCTGGCGTCATTCCGATCTTCGAGAAAGACTGGAGCACAATGCAGCTCATATTCTCCATACCGATCCTCGTCTTCTGCTCCTACTGGTTGTGAGTTATTTGATTTGCCCAGAAGGAAGAAGGCATCGCCTTTAGTATTGAAATGCATTGCATATTTGCCATGGCCTATAATGCGTGAGACGTATGATGTTTATTGGCTAGATAAAAAAGAGTGATTGAGCTACTTGTAGTACGAAACTATAAAAAGTACTTACGAGTCATTTGCGATTTGATATGAAAGGTGCCGGGCACGATGAGGCCAACGTCATATCTGTATCCCACTTGTAACATTATTTCACCTGCTTGCTTTTGAGGTTCAATTTTTGAAGGATGATGTGAATCAGATGCTACAAATATCCAGTTGCTTGCAGTCATATCAAAACAGACACCTCGAATGGAACGCTCGGAAGCATGCATAACTGAAAGAGCGGACTTGCGGTGGGTGATATGCAAAATGATGTAGCTTATAGGCATCAGTTTAAGACTAAAATATCTACATTTCATGTTTTCAGCTTTTTCCCAGAGTCCCCTCGATGGCTTTTGACGGTCAGCCAGCCACAGAAGGCTGAAGACGTCCTGAGGAACATCGCCAGGTGGAATAAAACCGATTTCCCGGAAGATCTTGTAGCACAGGTATTTCAAAATGAAAGATAAGTGATTTATCTCCCAATTCATCGTGAACTTATTTGTGATGCCAGTGTATAGGACAAGGTATAGCCAGGCCCGAGGATGACTGGACTGACTATTGACTATTTAGATTGGCTATGAGGATGACTATTCCATAACGCGAGTGACTGGGATGGGGGCCTCTACAGAGCCCCCTCCTTGTTTTGCATTGGTTTTACATCGTTTTTATTCACCCTTCTCTTATACGGGCAAGTTGAAAATCATCAGCATAATAATGCATGCACCACATTGTTTTCAGTCGATGTGCATGCTATTGATCTAATCGCCGCCAACCAAAAGTGCAAGGAATTAGGAATATGTATTGCTTAGCAAACTTTTCTCTCAAGTTAAATTAGCATAACTACAATGGAGGCTTGCAGAAAGGCCATTGCAGTCAATCATATTTGACACCATAAATAGCTTTAAGCAAGCTACATTTCATTGTTTGAACTGCGCAGACCGCTTACGAAAGCGTTTGCTAGCGGCTTCCAATTTGTTATGTCCGTACGTGCAGCCCGCTGATGAACTTGATTAGCAGAACAGTTAACTTTGGCGTTATCAAAAAACCAAGATAAACACGCAAGCGTTTACTAGGACAAAACAATTATTGTGTTAATCTGTTACTTGAATTGCAGTCTGTTAATTTTTGTGTTGTTACATGCCCTATTGCCATATCGCACAAACAGTAGCGGCGGAACACCTTCAAGGGGGGGCGGGAGGGGGCACTGTCGACTTTTGGTCTCATTCTTTCCATGCAACGCCCATAGGGCTAATGTTAAAATGCCAAAATCAAAGGGGACACGGTGCCCCAGTGCCCTCCCCGTTCCGCCGCCTATGCGCACAAATGCTAGTTCCAGTTGAGGCGTTGGACCAGAGAGCTGCCGTATAAGGTGTCGGCTACGACAGTTCTATGCGTAGGTGTCACCCATGCCAGTGAGGGCAAGTGTCGTCAGTGGCAGCGTAGCCAGATCAGTGTCAGCCCTGATACGGGGAGATGCTGCGTAGGTTCGCAGCTTTATATATAAGTGCCTACATCGTTGCTAGGTCCGATGCTTGGCTTTTGAACGTAAAACATCATAAGGGATCCATTTACAAACCTCCAAGTTTTGAATCTGATCGCTTGTCTTTCAGGAAAGTAAGGTCGAAACCGCCACCAGTCGCCCTTCTGGTACGTCGGCTGACTTCATGAGGGTGCTGAAATCGCCAGTTCTGCTCAAACGGGCCTGTATTCTCTCTGTGCAATGGTAATTACTCGTAATGGTAATTTTCAGTCACTGGACGATGTAATTCTGGGCAGCAATCCAAATCCGGCAAACGGTAGCGCCCATAGGTAATCCGATTCCTTTGTGTGTACCAGGAAAGCTGATATCGTGCAGGGCTGACAGCACAAACAATGTCGAAGGGATAGTTGGTGCGTGTTCGACAACGACATCGTGCACCGTGATGCTTCGCTGCATTTATTTGAAAAGGCAATTCCCCGCGACATAGCGATGTTCTGTAGAATGAAGCTGTCACCACGTTCGTGTAACCATGAACTTGTCACAAGAATCAACACCTCGAGAGTGGCGGGGCCTAACGACTGCACTAAGGGCAGCGGAGCCGTTGTCATGGTGCTCTGACAAACTGTGTGTGTGTTGTGTTGCTGGACATTCACAATAGATGATGTTTCTGTTGTGTCGGTTCGGATAGGGCGGTCGTGGCCATGGTGTACTACGGAGTAGGTCTGGTGTCCACCGACCTGGCTGGCGACGTCTACCTCAACTTCATCCTGACCATGCTCATTGAAATACCCGCCTACATAGTCTGCTCACTATTCATCAACCCGTGAGTCGGTTTAGTGTCCCTGTCCACTAATGACTGATGGCCTAAAACATGTCTAAAATAAAAACATCATAACTTCATAACAGTCATCAATTGTCTTATCATGCATCAGTCTAGCTGTGAAAATCTTGACAATGAATTTGTATATATGCTTTAGCTTTCATATTATTTTGGTGCCGTTCTTGCCTTGCTAAACCACAGCCGACATTCACCTGTCGTGCTAACCCGCCGACATTCGGCCGACAAACTACCCGTCTCGCCGCCAGTCTCGGTCGTAAGCTGATGTTTGTCTCCTCGTTTGTGCTGAGCGGCCTGGGGACAATCGGCGCCGGACTCATAACGAGCAATGGTGAGTGGGCCCCATGCCCGGGCCTGTGCAGGTCGGTGACAGGACTTGTTGGTGCTAGGTAGGGTGCTCTGTCTCTGCAGGAACGTTCATATTTAGTCATATTTGTAAATGATTTAGGTAGATTGGCATTCAAAAATCCACCCTAGGCATGATCTGAGGATCATGGTTCGCCACCGGTTCATGTCAGCAGAGTTGGAGTGGCTGACCACCACACTGGCTCTGCTGGGCAAGTTCGGCGCCTCGGGGGCCTTCTCACTGGCCTACGTTTACACGGCGGAGCTGTACCCCGACTCCCTGCGCGCGCTCGGGGTGGGCGTGGCCTCGGCGACGGGCCGGGTCGGCTCCATCCTGGCTCCCTTCATCGCCGACCTGGTAAGTTTACAGTGAATTTATAAATAATGATAACCATGGAGGATATTAAATTGAATATTTTGTACATGGATGTCTGATAACTGAAACATTTAAAGGCCAGGAATGAAACCACGCCAAAGTTTGTGGCATGAAAACGTGCAACTAAATTAATAAGATGATACCATCAATGCTTAAATGAAACCCGCGCTTAATTTTGGCTGAATTTTTGGCTGTTATGCAACGTCGTGCTTTTAAAGTTTCTATATTATTTTCTGATTAATCGTGAGCGAGCTCATTGATGTAAGTCAACAGTTATATGGAGCGGAAAAGTCACATATGTATGGGCGAGATTGCTGATAGTGGCTTTAGGCACTCACACCATTTGGCCGTGTTTTTCGTTTTTGCAGGGTCAGGGCGACACTACCCTTCCTATGTGTATATTTGGCGTAGCCGGTCTGGTGTCTGCTGGACTGACCATGCTGCTGCCGGAGACCAGTGGTCAGGACCTGCCGACCAGTATCGACGAGGCCATCCAGTTCGGAAGGTGAGTGACAGCCTGAAAACGTCAGAGCCCGGACGCCCACAGTGAGTAGTGTATAATGCGCGAAAGCGGCTGCACAACTGCATCCGGTGTTCATTTCTCATTTTTCTCGATATGCCGTTAGAGCAAGAGATAGGTATATTTGATGTAACATTAACATGTATCTAACATTTGATTTGCGAAAACATTCATTTAATCATGCATCCATATCTTACGATATTCCTTGCGAGAACACCACGCATTCAGTAATCCGCAATTGAAAAGTTTTACCCATCCGAATCACTCTAACCCATACTCACATGTGTGACCCATGTGATATGCATTGCAGGGGCCAGCCGCTGCTACCAGTCCCGTGCCTGGTGGCCCGTCGGCAGAGAAAACGGGAACAGCTCAGAGGGTTCGACGGACCCCAGATACAGCTGCCAGACACGGAAGGAGACGCCCACGACCAAGGACATTCAAAGACAGTCTGACACATGGCCCAAGTGACAAATTTGGTATTCAGTGTCTTGCATTCATTTATCACGAACCTTGTTTGTGACGTCTTCATCCAGTGACGGTTGAGCCCTTGTCTTTGTCTAGGCCAAGAACAATCGTGTTGTTAGGTCTATTGCGGTTCTCGCTGAGGCATCGCTGGCTCAATAAGGACGTTGTCTGCAAATGAGTCGTTTGCAGCACGCCTCGTGCCGCCCTAGAGGTCCCAGTGCTAACAAATTGCACCACAATTATTCCCGCCTTCGTCACGTCGCGCCTGAATACAGGAGCGAAGCAATTACTATGACAGCGTGGCGCGGAGTGTCCACATTGTTCGGCCGGCTGGCCGTGTTTGGACTGCCCGGCGAACCAATTACTGGGAGACACCGCTCGATGTTTGCGTCACGGTGAGCATCACGCCACCGGGACCGCGCCCCTTCACAGGCCGCCCCCAGTGCCACCGGCCGCCCACACTGGGTCAATGCGCGCCTCTCAGAACTGCACCCTGGGCGCCCGGTCCAGTGCACGCCGGTCCTGCCAGCGGGCGCCGTCCAATGGCTGCTCACGAGACCCCAGCCACCGTGACCGGTCACAAACTGCCGGTCTTTGTCGCCACGGCCGGCTGCCGGCGGCTCTACAGGTCCCCACGCCGTCCGACCTGGTCATATAGACATACCAAACGCGCCTGCCGACACTCTCAATGGGCCCATTACGAGCTGGCACACACCGGCGTCTCAGCTCTACAATAGCGCGGCAGCGACTGTCTGCTGCGGAAACAGTGGACCTGTTGAGCGCTACCGTACAGGCGGCTCTGCGAAAGGCGACTGTGTGCTCGCTGGGTCGTCCTACAAAGGTGGTCGTCACACACCGCATTAAAGAGTCGACAGCACTGAACTCTAGCGTCACAAAAGCGAAACTATAGTAGGGGAAGGTGGGGTAAGACGGACCAGCTAAGGTTTGAGGCCGCATGTCTTGCTACACTGCTCTCGTAATTCATATTATTTATAGTCTTCGGAATGCTCAATCCTTCCTCTGTTGATATGTGTAAAGACTAAATTTCAAATTAAAGACATTTAGGTGGTGGATGCTCTTAAAGAGGGACATGTCAAAAACTCAGACAAGAAAAAACGTGGGGTAAGACGGACCACCCAGCAGTGCCTGCTATCCGTTCATGTGTGTTACACTTCTGCTCTGTACTCTTGTAAGAAAAAGTAATGAGCCTTTATTCTTTACTCATGTGTGATGGAAGTGCAGCTAAAAGCTGGGAACATGTGTGTTAATTGTCGTTTGGCATGAATGCATGCTAACTGAGCACTTGCATGCATGGCTCACATGCAACAAAGACTCCTTCCTGAAAAATTAGCTTACTTAAACTTGTGTCAATGTTTTGGAAAAGAACTTTCCATATGCAGGGTACAATGGACCACCACAGGGTAAGATGGACCACAGTGGTCCGTCTTGCCCCATATCTAAATTCTGTCATTATCATGACGTATATGTCAAATAGCCCAACATTGCAAAACCTTGCCTTTCCTAAAGTGTGACTATAACTAAGTTTATAGCTTTGTTCTTCATAGTTAAGTGCAAAATAGAAACTAATCATGCAAGAAAGGCGCCGTAATTGAATCACCCGTAGACCTCTTATATAAGATCGGTTTGACGAAAAACAACATTTTTCTCAATAACTCAAAAGCTATGCATCCTAGCAGCATGAGCTCAAGGTGGCCATTGTTACGAAGGAAAACAAACATAGTGAGTGCTTAAAGCAGTAGATACCAGCAGTGGTTCAGCCGGGAGGGCTGGTGGTCCGTCTTGCCCCGCTGGGCCGTCTTACCCCACCTTCCCCTATCTGTCGAACATAGATGTGTACACGTCCTACAGTGTCGAGCATCTTATTACAGTAATGCAATACTTGTGAATTTCAATAATCATTTTAGATTTGGAACACTGCAACCCCATGCAGCTAGAGCGTCTGTCATGAAAAAAAAACAGACATGGTCTTCCTGTCGTGGGAATGATACAAATCTTCATAGCAATACTAGCTGAAAGTCAAGGGTTTTCTAGAGGATGGCATTATTTCTAGTGTAAAGAAAGGCTCATTCACTTTAAATATGATGGCCTTTCCAAGCTTGTATATTGCTTTTGATGCGTTGATTTGAATAGTTTTCAAAGATATCAACCACAGGTCTTCATCAGTGAAAAAAAAACGTATAAAAAATAAAATGAAAGTTAAGTGTAGAAATAAAGGACATTCGCCAATTTGTTGATTTACACTGATAAAAAACAATTGAAAATATTTACCTTCATGGGTAACGATAAAAGATTAATAATTCATATTTCAAAGGGTGGGCTCATCGGTTATGAAGCAGCATACGCCTGAAATACTAACCATTCCAGCTGCATATATGGCCTAAGCTTCATAACCATGCCACATTTTATGTCCTTGTTGTTGAGTCGACACCAGCAGTAACAACTGCTGGTTCGAAATTAGGCTGACGATGTGCCTATATGGCGTTAAGGTCCCATGTCGGACACCTGTTTCGTGTTGAATGTAGATCTCAATTTCACAGGTATTTGCAGATATGAACATTACACTCCTTAATTGCACCATTGTAGTACGGATGCTCCTGCAAATGGGTCCAGTACTGCCACTACGTGCTAGAACGAGATCTTCAAGCCTTATTACGAGCGAGCGAGCGCAGCGAGCGAAGCGAGTCTTTTCAATATAACGGAAAAATCTCAGTATGAGCGGCCCGGCCCGGCCCGGCCCGGCCCGGCCTGTAACGCTTTTGAGAGGCTTATATCTCAGCAACCGCTGGACCGATTGGCCTGCGGTCTTTTTTGCTGGGTAGCCCCATCCCTTCTACCCCGTAATTGACTACTTTTGATACATCTCAGTGACCGTCGTGTCACGTGCCACGTGAAAAGTCAAGGGTGTTCAAGCTGTTTTGCAAAAGTAGTGATTTTGAGAGGCCCATATCTCAGCAGCCGCTTAGCGATTGACTTGCGGTAATTTTTATAGGGTAGCTACATCCTTTCTACCAAAAATAGGATACTCTCCATGCATGTGGGTCACCCCCAGTGCACGTGCAAAATACAACAATAAGAGGTGTCAAATTTGTTCCCATTTTAATAACTCGGTAATTACTGGGGCGATTTCGCTGAAACTTGGCATACAGGTAGGCACCCACCAGGCAGTGCATTCTCATGTGTTGCGGTTAAGGTGCTACTGCACGTGCGCACGTGCAGGGGGCGCTTCCAGATCTCGAGAACGGCTGGGCCGATTGCGCTCAAATTTGGTACATGGTTGGAGACCGGTTAGTAGGGTGCCGTGCAAAAGTCAGTTTGGACCCCGTTTGCACGTGCGCACGTGCAGAATGCCGCTTCCAGATCTCAGGAACGGCTGGGCCGATTGCGTTCAAATTTGGTACACCGCTAGCGACCGGTTAGAAGGGTGCTTTGCGCAAGCCCGTTGGAAGTACCCTCTCGCCCTTCCGCACGTGCAGGGCTCACTATCTCGCTCGCTCGTTCTTCGCCCAAAAGGCGTTTTACTGGTTTTATATCGATTTGTGACAACAAGGCGACTATAAACAACAATTTTCAGATTTATAATCGCATGCTAAAATGCTGATGGAATTTATTATCTAAACTTGGATAGTACAAAGAACGAACTCTTTAGAGGTGGCAGTTTACTGTTAACACGAATATAACTGTGTGCAGTAACAGCACGAGGCATGCATGCCTGCTCTTAAGCACCTGAATGGTGCACTGATAAAACGCACGATGGGTTGGCATGTAAAGACAGCTATACACAACATCATGGCAATGGCAGAATATTTTTCTGACATTTCATAAATACATACATTTTTGATACAGTCAAAAAATTAATGGCATATGAAAGTACACTGATACTTCACTGATACTGCCTAAAACTGGATTTAAATATGTAGAATGAATCATGAGGGTAGTACTGGTGAAACAATTTTATACCATGAGCGAGCACACACGGTTATCTCTCAATCATGGAATAATCATATGCATAGCACATTACAATTGAGATCCATTTAAAGGCAAGCCACTAAAGCCATATTACATAGTATCACGAATCAGCATGACAAGCAGGCAGCTGAAAATACGATAGAGCCTTCATACTGTCCTTGTGTTTCCAAATACTTGGCATAGCCAGTCGCTCTCACTGCTCACTGTGTTCCCTTTTCGAGGCGGCGTAGTAGCTCCAGAAGATGATGGTAAATATGATGAAGAAGACGGCCAGCACCCAGCGACTGATCTCGTCCATGTACGATGGCTCCTGGAGGTCCTCCCACAGACTCCGAGCCGACTGGCGCGTCTCCCGCTTCGACGTCTGCGGACACACGAGACAGGAGACTGAGGGAGCGGGATAACACAGAGACACGAGACTGAGGGAGCGGTACAACACACAGACACGAAACTGAGGGAGCGGGATAACACAGAGACACGAGACTGAGGGAGCGGTACAACACACAGACACGAAACTGAGGGAGCGGTACAACACACAGACACGAGATTGAGGGAGCGGTATTGCACAGAGACACGAGACTCAGGGAGCGGGATAAGACAGAGACACGAGACTGAGGGAGCGGGATATCACAGAGACACGAGACTGAGGGAGCGGTATGACACAGAGACACGAGACTCAGGGAGCGGTGTAACACAGAGACACGAGACTGAGGGAGCGGTATAACACAGAGACACGAGACTGAGGGAGCGGTATAACACAGAGACACGAGACTGAGGGAGCGGTATAACAGAGACACGAGACTCAGGGAGCGGGATAACACAGAGACAGGAGACTGAGGGAGCGGTATAACACAGAGACACGAGACTCAGGGAGCTGGATAACACAGAGACACGAGACTGAGGGAGCGGGATAACACAGAGACACGAGACTCAGGGAGCGGTGTAACACAGAGACACGAGACTGAGGGAGCGGTATAACACAGAGACACGAGACTGAGGGAGCGGTATAACACAGAGACACGAGACTGAGGGAGCGGTATAACAGAGACACGAGACTCAGGGAGCGGGATAACACAGAGACAGGAGACTGAGGGAGCGGTATAACACAGAGACACGAGACTCAGGGAGCTGGATAACACAGAGACACGAGACTGAGGGAGCGGGATAACACAGAGACACGAGACTCAGGGAGTGGGATAACACAGAGACACGAAACTCGGGAAATGTGTAACATAGCGTCACGAGACTGAGGTAGCGCAGAAACGCAGAATCGAGACTGATGGAGCGGTGTAACACAGCGCTACGAGACTGAAGGATCGCAGAAACACAAAGGCACCAGACTGAGGGAGCACATAAACACATAGACTCGAGACTGAGGGAGCGCAGGAACACAGCCAGCCACCATGACCAGACTAACAGGAAGCGGTGAAGCATAGAGACACCAGACTGAGGGAGCGCAGAAACACAGAGACAGAGACTGACGGAGCGGGATAACATGAAAACACGAGACTGAGGGAGCTTTATAATAGCTGTTTTCACGACGGGATATCCGGCGAGTGCACCTAATTTGACCAAATCGGCACCCAATCTTTTTTACAGCAAATATCTTTATTTTATGACTTTATTTAAGTGTTTTAATCGATGATACTCTCTGATAATATGACAAAGCAGGCATATACCTAAGCAACAAGTGAAACCTTAGCTGATAGCTACTAAGAGACACACTGAACCTAATTTGACCAGCTCTGCACCTAATCTGCACCAAATGTGCACCAAATGTGTATCAGATGGCCGTCGTGAAAACGGCTACACTGAACCTAATTTGACCAGCTCTGCACCTAATCTGCACCAAATGTGTACCAGATGGCCGTCGTGAAAACGGCTAACTGCTGCAACGGCTACAGCACCATGGGACTGAGGAAGCGCAGAAACACATGAGAGTGACATGTGCAGACACGAGAGTGAGAGAGCGGTGTAGCACAGAGACACGAGAGTGAGAGAGCGCAACCACAGAGGCGCGAATCTGAAGGAGTGCAGAAACACATAGGCTCGAGACTGAGGGTGCGAGAAAAAACACAGACACTAAACTGAAGAAGCGCAAAACACAGAGACAGAAACTGCGGGAGCATTCACCAGTTTACGGATACAGGCACGTTGATCGCCGCTACGAATACAAAATATGAATAGTTAAACATTCACTGTACCTAAAAACCATCCTACACATACACACTATAGGTTTATATAATTAAATTTGTTATTTAATTTTAAACATGTTTGTAAAACGCAAATGCTCATGTCAAGACACTTTTCTATATGACGAAACTAATTGGTTTCGTCCTGCTACTGTACGATAAACACAACACACACACAATATATTCCATGGAAATAATATAAAATTAATACTATTCCGCTCAACATGCTTGATTAGTATCATAATATGTACAGACCTTTGGGCTGTTTTGACGAGGGCCATGTTTACATGCTCTGAAATATTACCGCCCATCGTGTACTGCACATGACATCGAGCCGACCCCAGGGTCGGCTCATTACCACATGCATTGATGGTCCTAAAGGTGGTGGCATTAAAGGTTTACAAAGGTGTTATGATAGCCCTCCCTCAGGCCACACATGGGAAAGACACATTTTTAAATTAGCAGGACATTTCTGTAGAAAAATGAGCGGTGAATTCGTCGCCGTGTGGAGGCGGCATCGAATAAAACTCAACATCCAGACAACTGTTTTAGTGTTTCGAAGAGCTGTCTAATTAACCCGCGCCCCAGTGGCGGTCTCAGCCAACTTCGCCCTAGTGAGGGGGGCATACGTTACCACCCACCTCTAACTCAAAAACTAAGAGGGCTAAAAAGACGCGGTAAAAAAGCAGTCGATAGCTCTCAATGCGTACGTTTGAAAGTATTTCGGTCATTTTTCACCTTAGAGCAATATTGGGGTCACCAGAGGTCATCAAAGGTCAAAATTTGCCAATTGTCATAATATTTTTCAGAAAACATGCCGCTATCTCAGGAACTATGGTAACTAGAAAAACGCATGGAAGAGCAAACGATAGCTTTTGAACTCTTCTTTTGAAAAGGTCATTATCAATATTGACCTCAGGTCAACGGTTTAGCCTCCAGAGGGCAAAAACTCCAAAAATAGCTGTTTTTACGAAAAGTGTTTTTCGACAATAACTTTCGACTACAAAAAGCCACGACATTTCTATGGCCAGAATCGTGTTCCCCTCGCCGAGACGCGTCGAATGAACTATAATTTGACCTTGAAAGGTCAACTTAAAAATTTGACCTCAGGTCAAGGTCATGACCTTACCGGAAAAGGTCATGTTGCATATCAGTCGATGCGTCTCAACAAGACAAACACAATGAGACCATCCCCAGCGTTCCAGCTCTTTCCAATCGCGAGTTATTGGCAAAAAACTGTTTGTAGCCTCAAGTGACCTCGGATGACCTGTCTAGAGGCTATCAGCAAAAATGACACCTTGGTCATCACGAGTGGACTAAATCATTGTGATTCTGAAATATTTGGACTGTTCCGATGCGTACACACGGATCTAGAGGCATTTTCATTTTTCTCCATTGACTTGTAATGGAAAGGTCACGCCACTGACCTGACCTTAGGTCACAGATATAAGAAATCCGAGATATACAAATTGTAGGCGCCCATAACAGCATGCAATCCACCAAGCTTAAAACCTTTCTGACAAACACTGCAGGCTGGACATGATTGAAAACTTTTTTAGGCTTGGTCAGTTAACTTAACCCTATTAGTGGCAGGGGGTTGTTTTTATCCACCCCTCAGGTTTTTCGGGAATATCTCCGAAACCGCTGAAGCTACGATGCTGAAATTTTCTGACTTTTCCTAAAACTAAATTGGGCACATTCCCTGAAAATTTCAAGTTCATAACTTTACCAGGGGCGGCTCCAGAGCACTGGGAATTGGGGGGTCCTATTCGTGAAGTGAGTCATTTGGGCGAAGATCACGATGCTGCACCAGTTTTACGAACAGTGAATGAAAGGTATCATGTGATAACATATACAAAGTTATTGTGCATCCTCTTTTGACACGTTTTTGCTATAATAGGCGGATCCAGGCGTCCAAAAAGGGGGGTTATTTTTTACCTCCCAACATAGGTGCCCTGACACCGCCTATGCATGACCAATACAATTTTAGTCGTTCTCTCATAAGAAAATTGTAACATAACAAGACCATTGCCACCCTTTTTAGAAACAGTACCAACAAAAACCTTATTTACTATACTTTTTGTGTACCCCCAATCTCAATGATCTGTATCCGCCTATGATTTTTGAAAATGCATATTTTTAGGATCCATGTAAATTTCCTGGTTCATTCTCTATCGATCGGCAAAAGTTGCGTTAAGATTGGTTCAGAAACCTGGCCGTGATAAACAGTCTAAAATGTATCTGCAATTTGCCCGTTTTTACCCCCCTCTACCCCCCCCCCCCTATTGACATTTTTTAATTTTTTTTTTAGAAATGTAGATCTCGTTGAGCCAAATCGAATGCCATTTGAATTTTGAAAATCGGCCGGTTAGATCTCGAGATATCAAGGGGGGTCGTAAACAGCCCCCCCTGCCACTAATATGGGGTAGCCAGGAGCCTGCCACTAATAGGGTTAACCTGATGACCTGACCTGACATGACCTGGGGTCAAAAATTTCACACATTGTCCAAAATTGATTTACCAAAAGCTACCCCAAGCGCCGGGGCGCTACGCGCCGCGATTTTTTATTCACACGCAAAAAACGCGACAGGGTGGTAACATATGCCCCCCCCCCCCCACTGGGGCGAAGGTTAAAACTAAAAAAAAAATGCATAACCATTACAGACCTCTAATGTGGGTCATCACTCATCGCACCCAAATACGAACGACATTACGCTACTCATATGCAAACAAGGATCGTCGTGAGGCCACACTCAGGTTGATAGCAGACCGTAAATGGAAGTCACAGTTTCCGAAACGTTCAAATTTTCGGATAACTTTTTTTTTACAACTCAATTGGGTGTTGTAGCTATGAGAACTGCTTCACGGACTCTGAAAGACTTGTTCCAGCAATATAACAACTGTATAGCCACTTTGATTTGAAAAGTCAAAGTGAAGACAACAGTGGAGGTTATGACCTATTCCCATTGAATCAAGTTACAAATTATAAGCTGAACTAGAACGCTAGAGAAAAATATTGAAAGGGAAGGTGTTGTTGCATTTGTTTCGCGTAACATAGCTATCTTACACTTCGATGAAGGACGGGGCCGGAAATAAATATCAAAATGCCGAATCCTTGCTTACCGCCATAACAGCACCTAGATACAAAGAAACAGAAACCCCATGGCAGCTTATCCATATTTAAATGGCTCGTGAAAGTCCAATCATTCCTTACAAACCATAAAGAACCATAAAACGGTTATGTTCCTATGACAGCTCTGCTTGCAATGCACACTTCGGACAAACGAGCCATTGCAGTATACTGCAGTCCGGGTCCGGTCATTTGGGAGATAATGGTGCCTTACAATCGCGCACAACCCATAGTAATGGCCCTGCACCACTGGGAATTCGTGGTGTGCTGTCCTAGACTTGGTAACTACCTACATACAACGGCGGTATGCATGAGAGGGTTGTAAACACCAGACAACATCATCAAACTCTTACGTAAAGCCAACCGGAGCTGATGTATCGATCGATCGATATAATATTCTACTCGTCAGTGCCTTGTGAAAGGCATTAACCGGACCGTTGACGTCTATGTCCCTCCAACTTCCCAACAGCGGCAGCTAAGTCCCAAATGGTAACATTGTCATGCGTGCAACTTCTTCTGCATTTGAGTGAGCCAAGGCTAGCAGTAGTGCGTGCGTGCAAGCGCTTGAGCATACATGCTCGTTTGTCATGAGTTGTCTGCATTTGGTGACGACAAAGGAGCAACCGTGACCTCGTGTGCGTGCGAACTGGGAAATTTCGTCGGAAATGGCTCTAATTTTGTGACAGAGAACAAAGCTGCTGCACTGAAATTACAAATTCAAGGTGACAAGTCGGATGGTAACTGTAACGACAGAAATAGGAAAGGCGAAGCTTTGACAGCAGGCTCGGTGGCACAGCTCGCAACCATACCTCCCAATGACCATTGACCTTGAACCCAGAGTCGGTGGCGACCCTGACCAGTGACCCTGTCCCTTGAATCTGACCTTTGGTTTGACGGGGCTGGGTCGCACCAGCTTGGTGCCGTCGGTGGCCGGGAAGGGCTGCACCTGGCCCCACTTGGCCTCGCCCTCCTCGCGGCGGCGCTGCAGCCACAGCAGCACCGAGTACTCGAGGATGATGAGGAAGTCGAACAGCAGACAGGCCACGTACCACACGTCGCTGGCACGCAGGTACGAGACGCCCATCGTCTTCCTGGAGACGGGAGACAGACGGCGGTGTCAGCAGAGTGTGACGTCCTGCCAACTAAGTGCAGTGCTCCATGCCCTCATTCGCGCAACTCGCTATTATGCACGGAAATCGATTGGCAAGTGTCCGAGGTTAATGCACGGTTCATGTAAATATCCGCTTGGGCGGTGTGGCGTCCTGTTCAAATGCGGCGCCACGGCTAATGGGGCACGCAACGAACCTGCCGTGCTGGAGGTCATCAGATAGCCGGGCCGCTGTTCCAGTGCCCACTTCAGCGGCATTCGCCATGAACAAAGCCCCGTGCGAACAGCGCCACATGACCACAATGCAGCGCCGATGTCAGCGCTCGTCAATACGGCGTGAAGTCCGTACGGCCACCCACACACATCCTGGACGCTAAGTCTGACACAACCCACGCCCACACTGAACAATAAGTCTAGTCTGTTTCAGTCACAGACCTAACAAGAAGCCTGTCCGCTGCATTTGTGGGCTAGACGAGAAGTTTGTCCGTTTGACTAACAGACTGGACAATAGGCCAGTCCGTTTGACTCACAGACTGGACGTGAAGAGGGTCAGCATGGCGAGCATGGATGTGATGCAGAGCACCATCCGGCCGGGGATGATGTCGGGCGGCAGCAGCATGCTCAGCCACGAGGTGGCTACCAGCAGGATGCACGGCACGAAGATGTGCCACACGAACAAGCTCTTGCGGCGCTGCATCGTCACGTTCACCACTACGTTCGAGTAGCAGAACTCTGCCGGAAGCCAGGGGGCAACGGTACAGTGAGGCATGTGTGTCTCAGATGTCAAACAAGTAATGCACAAAACTAAGCACAAAGTTTTAGGACGCCGAAATGCATACGGATTTCATGTCTTTGCATTTAATTACACTGTTCTTTCTTTGTATTGCATGTAGTGCATAACATTCCGTTAGGCTATACTCATGCTCCCATTTTATGTATTGAACCATAGACCACTATATATCTGGACTGTGCACGGATTTTGCCGACTGCTATTAGGGCCCTGCTGGGAAATTCGACGTAGCACGCGGAATTGTGTATTGACGCTCTAGTAAGCCCATTTAAATGAAAGTAACTTCTTAAATGTGATGTATATTTTAATAAATGTATAATTTATAGCATGATTTTTAACACGATAAATAAATAAAAGCACTTATAGACAGGTATATCACACTGTATTAAGTTCAAAGCATCAATAGACAGGAACAATCCGTGATCGGTCGTTTTTGACAAGAGACAGTCTGACGACATATTGGACACACTGCAGATTAATTTGCCTGTCTAAATCAGACACGCACCCGGCTCAATGCTTTGAAAGCCCACACGATCTGCGCCACGGAATTACGAAGATTCCTATGGGTAAATAACAAAGCTGCCGGTGCTGCGTTTTTAGCGAGACCGTCCGAGGTGACCTGCTGGGCCACAACTGTTCCCTGCTTCCACTGAGGCCGATTTCATGCTCAGCATAGGGACAGACGGGTTCTGTCATCTGTCCCTCTCGAGAGAAGGGGACTTTTGAACACCGTTGTCAGTGACGGTGGCCGCATTTTGCAGCGGGTGATGGCGATCGAGATTCGAGATTTAGACGGAGTCACGAGATCTCGGTTCACTGGACACTGCAGCAGAGCTTCGCACTTAGGAATGCACTTTCTTATAGTTCTTGTGCTACATTTGCCTTTAGTTACTATTCGAATTGTAAATCCACATCTGAAATTCTCAGCCATGTAGGTATCTTACACATCGACGAATAGGATCGTAGTTATTGATTGCATAGACAAACTGATCCCAGGAATGTTGCATTGTGTTTACGTCCTGCGGCTCAACCTTTCTCATTTTCATGAAGCTTTCTTATTTCATGAAGCTCTGTTCGCGCATCGCTGGTGTTGAGTGACGGTATACTGTCCATATTGTCTCCATGAATTGCAATGTTTGTTTTTCGCTCAACTATACACATCAATGTGTTGAAGGAATGCAGGTCGTAGCGTTGTAACTTGAGGTGCTTCTCGACAGTGTGACTCCCTCAGCGAGCAATGTGAAGAAAGTTATCGTTTTCCTTTACAATGGTAGTCGCGCTGTCTTGAAACACACGTTTGAAGCTATACGTGTGCCGAAGAGAGAGCGACTCGGCAGCTGTTACCAGAGCAGGACCCATTGCTTGCATGCAGGAGCGGAACACAGATTGCTGATGTGGGCACGCCAGCTCTCCGCAAGCCATAACATATGTGACCATCACTTGACCAAATTGCAAGACTTTAGCTAGTTTTGGGCTTCACTTGTGACTGATATTATAGGAGCCGCCAGTCTGGAAACGGATCCGCCACCTCTCCTTACAGTTGTCTTCTGCTCAATTTTTCGGTCTCGGCCAGCGTCACAGCATGTAATAAAACTCACAGGGAGCCCAGTGGTCAGAATTCCAAGACATTTTCAGCTTTAGGGCATATAGTAATTGACTTCATATTGATGCCTTAGCCAGGAACCGGAAAACTGACATTGTTGCATGCACTGTCTTGGCTCTTTGAATATGCTCACTCCCTGTTCTGTTCATAGGATATTCTGAAGTGATTATCACTAGCGGCACATTTTACTGTATTTCAGTGGCATGTATGCATTAAAAGGTTTCATTTTATTTAAAGACAAAAGAGAACTATCCCGCATGTCAATGATAAACAACAAACAACAATAATCTTGCAAAAATCTTCGCTACATGTCTGTGAAAATTTGCTAATTCTCGTGAAAATTAGCTGGGAACCATCATCCACACCATGTTAAATCATGGAAGAAATGGGCAGAAAATGCCCTTCTTTTTTCGATGATTGCGCTAATATTATATATTTTTTTCCTCAATGTAAGATATAACTCAGATTACAAATTGACTAGTGGTGATGTTTCCCAAAGCACATCATCATATGGCGAATAAGTTGGCTGTGACGACCTTCGAAAGTTAGGGCCCTAATGGCAGGGCCCTAATTTCCGTGCACAGTCCAGATATATAGTGGTCTATGATTGAACCCTCTGTCCTCCAACCGTCATCCCTTCACTTTCAGTTTCCCTTTCTCACGCTGGCCGCCAGCTGAGGAGCAGCCCAGCTCGGGGCCGGACCGCGCTACAGATATGTAGTACGTCTGGAGCTCCATAGTATCCTTAGAGAACAGCATTGTATGCGGGGGAGACCACCTGTACTCCATGTATTCATGCTCACTACCGTCTGAAACAGTATAGGTCAAAGGTAAGCCATGTTGGCCAGCGTCTAGCATTTCGTTTTACTCTAAGAGAAAAAAAAAACGGTGCTTCGGAAAATTAGATCCCACGCCTCTTGTGGCTAACATGCCTCCCATCCCTTGCAAGTGGTTCAACATGTTCATCCAGCGGAACCATTGCAATGATTTTTTCTTGATACGCTTCGTCATTATTGTATCAGCGGAGAAAGTCTCACGGAGTTCGCTAGCATTATCATTGCATCTCAGCTTCCAGTACATCACAAGTTTCTCAATAATGACAAACAGAAATAATTGCAGTCGAACCTTACAAAAAAGTTTTACCTAACGTATAACGAGATAGGACGAACATAGCGGTAGATGCACTTACAGCTTCCAAATTTCAGCGAGCAGTGTTGTGTGTCGAACGGATAGGTAGAGAAGTCCATATGGCAGGCCACGGACAACCGGGCGCTGAAAGGTCGCTCAGGTCAAATGCAAAACAGACCGTTAAAAAATTATGTAATTATAACGTTTGATTATAATAACACGCTGACACGCTAAATTATATAGTGTATGTCATCTGCACTAGCCAGCCTGAATGAATATAAAACATTATACCCTACATAACGTTTGGTATATATGGGTTTTCTGTTATCTATGGCACATCTATGGCGCTTGTTATCATATCATTTGCAAGTAGCGAAATAAATAACATCTTTCTGATCGAACTTGCAGCTACCTAGAGCGAAGCCAAGGGACCATTGCGACCAGCATCGTGTATGTACTTTCAGTGAAACACCGGGCAAACATGCTTAATCGTCGATGTCACCCATTTAATAAAGTTGATAGCATTGACAATACACAGGCCACAGCACGCAATGTATAGCGGTCGATAGCTTATCGTGTCCATCTTTATAGTTTTCCAGCTCTCCTCGGCATCTTCACTTGGACCCCATGTCAATAACCCCATGTCATTTCTCCTCGAAATTTGAACCTGCCATTCTAACAACATTATCCCTTCCATTATTTTGTTCATCCTTTTATTTTTCATTCGTTCTTTTTCATCCTTTACCCAACTTCTTTTCACGCGTTATCTGTATGTATAGCTGTTTATATATCTATATGTAATATCTGTTTATTCCGTTATCTGTTATCTTCTTTTCACCTAGACGATATCTACGAGCCCTTCTCTATTTTCTCTTCTCTCCCTTTTCGCCGGTGCTGCCTTCTCCCTCCGCTACCTACCTACCGCAGCGAGTTTTCGAACTCGATACACATCTGAGAGTATCTCATGAGTGTACAGTATTCCCCCATCCCTTGTAGTGGACTACTCACTAGATGCCGTACTGGACATAGCCCGATGTGAGCAGCCGGAGCATCCCGAGCTTCCCCAGCATCTCCAACTGCGTCATCTCCTCGAGGTTGTAGACCATGACGTCCGGCACCCAGAGCCGCTGCTGGATCAGCGTGTCCAGCTGCACACTGGAGGCGTTGGAGCCGGGCGGCAGCGGCGGCATCACCAGGCGCTCGTCCTTCCAGTAGAGCGACATGTACGCCTGGTACACCACGAACTGGCGGCACAAACCGGTGGGCTTAGAACAGCCGTGAACATGATGGAATCGAATGCACAATGTACATATTGTACGATGCATGAATGCTGCTTTTTCGAATAAGTTGCGTTTAAATTATAAGTAACATGCTTACGTGTGATATTCTAAGAAGAGCGCATCGTGAAGCCTGAAATTCGTTTTTACTATATGTAGAACTGACCACGACCATTTTCTTTAAAAAGTACCTTCTTCAGCTATAAGGACAGCTATCGAAGTTTCTCAACTTACGCCGCGAGCTTCATCAATCTCGACAATGTTGGCCAAGCTAAAGCGAAAGTAGATAACCATCGGCTTCCCATCTGAAACGACACATGATGGTAAGTCACACTGTCGCATACAATGAACTTATAGTGCTTTCACATGACAACAAAATTAAAATTATTTATCACATGCAGCTACAAGCTGCAAGAGCTGCAAAATACACCGAAAGAAAAATAAGCTAGACATGAAAATATGTCAAACCTATTAGTAGCAGGCTCATGTATAGTGGACTGGACACCCTACGAGTAACGGGGTGGCGCGTGATCCACTGCCACCTCGACCCCTCACCCCTCCCCGCAGATCTCAAGTACTGCTGGTCCAATGTCTAAACTAGAAACGCCAGTCGCAGCGCCAAGGAAGTCGAATGACATGGAAGTCATTTGGCAATAGGTAATTAACGCTTACAACAATAACTCATATTGGCCGTTTTCACGACGGAACTTTCGCAGAGGAACTTATTTGATACCTAAAAAGTACCTACCCTTAGAGGCCTTAACATCCCTCAAACTGAAATATTTTATGTTCAAAATAATTTTAGAAGTTTAAATCCGGGCATTTTTGCCCTCAAATCACTTATTTATTTACAAACACAGCAATTTTTGGTTCTAGTAGCCCACCTTTCGACTATGAGGTATTAAATCAGCGTGGCAACTTGCTCCCTCTTTGCTCCCTCGGGTATCTAATTCCGGAATTCTTAAAAACAAGGAAAGTATATATCGAGTTCTCTTTTATACCTATTCAGTTATGTTGCAATGGTGATTAAAATATGACAAATATTTTAATTACATTTCATATAAGAAAACACGCAAAACAATGAAACAAAAATAACTACGGCAGATAATTACCTTCAGGTATCTAATTCCGACCAATCAGCACCTCAGTAGGATATGACGTCATACAAGAATGGTGGTGAAGGCCGTTTGCAGTCCCGGCCGGTAGGTCACGTGACCGCCGGGCGCCTCGGGTCACGCGGCGGTCGGGAGTCGGACGCGGGGTGTGGTCGCGGGCGGACGCGCGGGGCATCATGCTTTGCTTTGCTTGCTTTGTCAACTTCATATAACTTACTATCGCATTCGTGTGAAAGCCAAACACTGCTCAGTGCCTTTAGAAATTGAGTTTTGGAAAGCTCAAGTCCCTATAGCTCCTCAGGTCGGCAACAGTTGAAGCCTTATCTGAACCCATGTGAAAAAAACGAGGGTAAGGAGCCTTGTGTTGCTTTTTCTTTTACCGTCATAATTATCTCATACCATCACAATTTTGAGTTGCCACATTGTCTGCTTCACTACATTCGTGTAAAACTTGGGTGAAGGCTGGTGGCTCAAAGAAAGGTGAAGATATTTCTTTAAGTGCCTAATCCGTGAAATTGAAATATCCCGGCTTTACAAATCTACACTTTTCATTTTCTCCACGATACATTTTTTAAAATTGTTTAAATTTTATCTACATTTGTTAAAATCGGGGCTTTGGTTTTGTGTAAACTAGATCATAAAGTTTACTATAGTTTTGTGTAACCTGATGGCTGAAGAAAATAGTAATTTTGCTAAAATGATGTGCGGAAATTTGTTGCTTTCCAAATCAAATTACTCATACCTATATTTCATTCAAAATTAGGAGGCATTATTACTGTTTTTTCTTGTAACATGAACTGAGTTTGGGTACGGTGCTATTCTCATAAGCTATCGAATGTGTGTGTGTGTTTTTTTTAAGCTGTTTTTTTAAGCTTTTAAGCTGTAACTTCAGTTACTTCACTTTAGAACATATTGCCCAGAATGCGTCACTGATCATGAACTGGTATATCATATCATATGTAACAAATACATAAATGAGAATAGTGTGTCATGAATTTTTGTGCATGCTTCTGGATCATCTGTAATTACATCCAAGGCTCGGCTCAAGAGTGTCCTGCCGACCAGCTTATGCCCAACCCTTTCTGTCCGCAGAACGTCGCCTGCGACTCCCGCACGCCGTTTGCCCCGGCCGTCCGTACTGGTCTTCGCGCTGCGAGCCGCGCTGGAGTTCGCGGCGGCGTCGTGGAGCTCCCATCGGGACGGCGTGTGATGCCCGCGTCGAGCTTATCAGGCCCATGTCGTCCCCTATCTCTCTGCGTGTCCACTAACACGAATGACGTCACGCATGTGGGCGGAGCTATGGGCGGAGCCTAACGCACGCGGCAGTCCAAGCCGCCATATTTGAATTTATATTTTAATAGAATCTTGCCGATATTTTGGGTGAAGTCAATTTATATGGATAGCTTGGTGACAGTTTAGCTATACGAATAATAATTTATTATGGATGTGCGTATATTCAGCTTGGAATTGCAATTAAAGTTCCGCACCGCATAGATTCGAACTCGGGACCTTTGGAATACTGCGCGGGCACGCTAGCCACTACACTACCGCGACCGCGCGGCGGCCGGCGGCAGGGAGGCTGCGGAGACATGGGGGGACATTTTACGCTTTTATGAAAAAAGCAAATGATTTAGCGAAAAACACGTAATAGATAACTTGCAGAAAATTGTCTGCTCTTTCAGATAAGATACTTAGGTTTGATATATCTTGTGCAGACTTCATTCTACAGTGCTTCGAAAATCGCTCATTTACATGGGGATTGAACGGGGCTTCGAGACTTGACTCCAAATGACGTCACGAGCTGACGTCACGAAAAGGTAGAATCGCCGGACGACCCTACCTGGTATATAGGGCCTTGCGAGCTTATAAGCCGTGAGCTTCGATTGGCGGCTCACGCGGTCACCAGCTGTATGTACAGCCTCGGCCCCGACGACCCCGCTAATGGCCGAGACCGGCATACCCCCGGCATGGGTCCGCTGTCCGGCGCAGCGCTGGCCGCCCGCATGCTATGCTACTTTTGGCTGTATCGCTGCCCAGCGGGAGCGCGCTCCACGCTGCGGAAGAGGTACACGTTGCGACCCGACTGAGGACTGCAACCGGATGGTGACACGTCGGCCTCTGCGCCCTGGCCGGGGCAGGCGTGACCGACGTCACAGTGGAGGAACGCCCAAACAAGACCAGCCCACCGTCGGAGCAGCATGGAAATATCATGTTCTGCCTGGACGTCGGACCCGGCGGCCGCAGTGCACCTGCACACGTGCGGAGAGGGGCGCTGGAGGCTACTCTGGAGCTTCTGCCATTCCGCGGCGCGACTGCTGGCAAAACGGCGGCGATTGAGGCGGTTGGGAACAGCTGCAGCAATGGTGATGAGCAGCACCTACCGGATGGCGGGGTGGCCCTTACGGCCCTCACGCCCGTTCGGTCTGCGGCCACGTTGTGGGGTGGCGGTCGCGGGGTTAGCGGCGTTGGACTTCGTCCTTTATCCAGACTGCACCGTACCATCTGAACGGATGGATCTGCCAAGAAAGATGACATCCAAGGCGGCTATGAGGCGATCACAAAGCTTCACCAAGAGCTTCTTCATGGGGCCGGCCGGCCGTTAAGTCGCAACACCGGCTGCCGAGTGCCAACAGCTGCGTGCGCTGGCGCCGACGCGTTGTGGGCCGCGCTGCTGACGCCCAAGCTGCGATATCAACCATCTATGAATAAGTGGCAGCGGTGGCGGGTTGTCAGTTGTTAACGTGCCTTAACAGACGTTGCGAATAGCCCGCGTTGGAATCGCATGGTTGGGAACACAACGCAAGTAAAAATGGGCTTCCTTGATGAACCTACTTTTTAAGCATTGCAGCCTTTGTAATTTTGGATGTTTTGCTGTAGATATTATTTTCTACATATATACTATATAGGCACTCACGTGCTTTAAATCGCGCAATGCAATTGAACCATGGTAAAGACAATGATAAATGAACTGAGAGCTGACATGCCCCATGCTTTGTGTGTGTATGTGTGTGTGTGTGTGTTTTTTTTGGCGAGTCGATAAAAGTGGTTTTGGACACTGGATGAGTTTTTAGGGGTGTGGTGAGGGGGGATGTAATTCCACAGACCTTCTGTCAGATTCACTAATGCAGTAGGTCTGTGCGGTGTTAAGTTATCGGAGCATTCTTTGAAAGTCGTGAATAGGGCCACCGAGTACCTAAAGCCGTGATATTCCCCCACAAAAAACTTCTTTTAAATAACCGGTGATAGGTACATGAGCAGAGTAAATGCTATTACGAACGCCTATCACAATGCTGAGCGAATAGGAAAATCCATAGATGGAGAATTGTGCCGCGTTACGGGTGCTCGGGCGCAGCCAATCCACCGTTACCGCAGCGGTGACCTTGACCCGCATCGTCTGTCTCGGCTCCAAAGCCAAACCGGCGTGGAATTGGGAGCGTTCGAGCACTCATGGTCCAGCGCAATTCTCCACCTAAATCCATTCCTGATACACATTTGCTTGCTCATAGTCATGTAACCCCGGTAAATTCACCCAACTTTCATATTGGTCGCTCCATAGACAGATGGCCACAGAGATTAACTTAAAAGGCCATTGTTGCATTCATTTAGTGGAGATCATTAAAGAGCCGTGACAGGCCACAAGTCGCGTGACATCATACGTGTAACGACCAATGACGTCGGCCTGCAAAACCCAATGGAAGCGGCTAGCAGCGTGCAATAAAACAGGGCGCTGCTTTCTAAATGTCTGTCGTGCGCCATAAATGAATATATTCTTTGTAGCCTGGCAACTCAGTATCTTTTTTTAACTATTGTACTAGTATTTAATACTTTCATAATTTTATAATTGTGCTTACGCTTTATGTTGATATTAGTGATAAATCCTTAGATAAAGTAAATCGATGTGATATTTAATAGAAAAATAGCAAACTAACGCACCATTCATTCGAAAGCTGGGGAACCTACTAAAAAGAACTACTAAAATTCCTGAGGAACCAAAGGATCAAATGGGGATTAAATAGATGCCTGCTATTCCGTCGTGAAAACGGCCATTTTGATGTTAAAAGTGATACCCATTGCAAGTTGCAAAAGGTAAGATTTCCTTGTCTTTGTATAGTCAAACGAATATATTTCCATGCGTTTCATATACAACATGTTTCGAGTAAGAACGGGCAGCTAATGCCACGAAACTTAAAGGTAGTGTGCCAGCTTTCCTGGACCATATGGAGTTAATGACCCGGATAAGGAGAACCGGATTTTTAGAACTTGTCCATACCTTCAAAACTTATGGAAACGTCTTAAATTCTTCAAATTTTGAGTACCCCAGTGCGAAATTCGCCCCGACGGGTTGTCGGTCGTACCCCAACCACATTTCACACCACTATGAACAATAAATGCACACACTAAAATCGCTATTACCGATAGGCTCATCCAATCAAGTTTCGATAAACCCGTTCATCATCATCTCCTGCGGTTTCGAACACGCCTGTTAGGTGGCTTCTGATGCTCGTCGAGGTCGGAATTTCCAAATACGCGTGGTGCGTCGGACCGCGCGCTCTGACTTCGGCCAAGAAAAATGCGTCAGCTGATCATTGTCATTTCTGCCACTTGCGTGTGGTGTAATGGGGTCATAACTTAAGAGACGGCTGTTTCATATCAATTATTTTACATAAAATCATATTTCAAACCACAAATTAATGTTCGACAGCCAAATTTAAGAAACAATACCAATACAGGCTTAAAGTTTAAGGCTCGACATTGTGTTGTCTACGATTAGACAGCTGATAACTCATTCCCGTACGTCGTATGGTCGTAACACTATAATGACCTTTGCTTATTGTCACAAGTGCGCCGCATTCGCGATTGTTGCCCGACGCCTGTTTGCAGGTGAGCCCACTACAGTTGTTATACATATCTAAAAACCGATAAACTTTTAGGCGAAAAAGGCACTATTCCAGGCCCACTTTTGATTTTTTTTGCGATATTAGGTAAAAACAGAAGCTTCTTATCCTAGGAAAAATAAAACGGGAAATCTTTCAAAGGTGGCACACTACCTTTAAAATAATGGAGCCTTCTTAGTTGACGTTTTACCTACATAAGAGGACATGTGACTTTTCCAGTGCACATCTCGTCAAGATGCCATTACGAGAAAACATCTGCCACTTCTGCGTCAGCATAGTATCAGGCTATCAGAGGCTTGACATATCCGAATGTTAAGTACGGTCAAATTAGGCATATTGTATAGAAAAATATAAGTGCGTTGCTCACATGACGCGTCGAGCTTACCTGAAGGGGTTGGAAACGCAGTTTTATCGTAATCTGGCGGAAATATTTCCGATGCGTTTTTAATCCGGATGGTTGGAAATGACTTGAAGATGTCCGGCTGGGATTCGTCGCTTGTTGTTGAGCTGAATGCTATTCCACTGAAATGAAGGCACGGGGCAGTGGGTCAGTTAATTCCTAGCAGTCGTCATGGCAGTCGTTATCTAATAGCTATTCATATATGGACAATTCAGCCCAGATTGCGGCAATTTTTCTAGCACCATGGGATTGAACAGGATGTACTCAGGATTACGTGCTCCGGGCAGGCGAGGGATCTCACCCGGACTTGCTATCGTTTTAGCAAGAGATTCATTATAGATTTGGCTGGGTTTATCACTCAGATGAGGCCAAAATCAAACCAATAACAAGGAAATAAATCCGATCAGTCATATAACAGGGCTGTTGGCTGTTGTGGCCGTCTGGACAATTTGTGCTTTTTGAAGTTCCATCGGCCGGTTATAGAGACATTTATGCCAATGTCGAACTTGGAAATTATTCAGGATTTAATCACCTTTTTTCGTCGGACCGATGTAACAAGTATGTACTGAGTCGTCAGAAGCATTGTAGCACATATGTCCGTGCCTGAGGCCACAGTGGCGTGCGTATTTCAGTGAGTATTCGCTGTTGTTCAAATGTGACAATTTCCTCTCATACACATGGAACGCGACATTCCGTGCGTCGCCAGCATTGGCGCGCACGCACCGAGCAACTGTGTGACCGACGTCCGTGGCAGCCTGCAATCCTGCAGCTAGTTCATCCACGGTGCGACAATCGCAGCCGGGAATTAGTGCCATGAGTTTGTCGGTAAGCCACTCGAGTATCGACCGGGGGCGGGCCGGTAAAATCCGTCCGCGGCGGCGCGGTGCAGACAGAGGCAGCGCACGCCGCTCGTTTGTGCCACCGTCCGCTGTGCCGGTGGCCGCCGGCCGCGGCCATAAACCCCCAATGACCTGACGCCCTGCATGCTTGGCGCGGTGGCGACTGCAATCGATGCGCATGCCGTGTCGACTGCACCCTCCGGCGGTCGGGGTACAATGAGCCGAGGCGGGCCGGTTCGTCCGCTAACGGCCCGCTGAAACGGTGCTTAACGCCACCATCACCGCCCGCTGGAGACCGGCCCGGTGTTCCATTGGTTTGACCATTGTCTGGACATAAGAATATGGTCCGGCTACAGCCAGCCATTTAGTGGGCGTGGCGGTTGTCACGCCGATTTTCCACCTTGTTCCAGCAATGGTATGGCTGGCAACAGGCTTTAAATTCCCATCAATTTATAACTTCGCTGCTTTGGACAACGCTGGGGATGTAGGAATGTAGAACAATATGATTGTTAACCCTCGCCCCGTTGGAGGGGGCATTTTGCCCCCCCCCCTGTGGTTTTTCCTGAATAGCAAGAAAACGGCGGCGTGCAGCGGCACCAAATTTTCAGTACCTTCCCGGGCATCAATTTGACACCTTCACACCAAATTTCAAGTCTTAGCTCACCTTAGGTCAGGAGTTATTGAGGTCAAACTGAGGTCATGTTCGAGCAAAAATGAGCAAAAAACATGCAATCTTGAAACGCTCACCAAATCTACAGTTATTCAAGCAATTTCAAAGTTCTTTATATGGTCTAGTAGACAAAAGCGGCGCTACAAAATTGTTATCTCGGATTTTCAAAATTTTGGGTTTTTTACCCCAAAAAATTCAAAAAATTGATTTTTTTTAGAAAAAAACTTTAAAAAAAAAATCCAAAATTTTTCCGAATTTTGAAAAAAAAACGGAATATATAAGATAGTACCTGTGCTCTTCTATATACATACCAAATTTCAGATTGATATCTCGTTTTTGTCCAAGTTATAGCGAAAAAACTTCAAAAATGATGACGTCACATTTTTGAACTTAATTTTTAGCTATTCTAGACCACGTGCGGTAAAACAAAGACCACCATTGAACTCCCCGTGACGAGCTGCATCGATTCGATACCCATTTTATGCAAAAATATGAACTTTGAAATTTGACCTAATTTGACCTGACCTTGACCTGACCTTGACCTGAACTTGACCAAAACGTGACCTAAGCTGGCCTTAAAGGCTGCCTGACCCACATAATCGCATTTGTCATGTAAAATGGGCCATAAAACATGTATCACACGACACTTTCATATTGTGACCCCCCAGTGACCTGACCTCTGTGACCTGACCTGGTATCAGTGACCTCAAATAGCAAAATATGTGTTTGAAGAACATTTCCCCATCGATGATTTTCAATGAAATGCATTTTACTCGATTTTACAGCGCATTTCTTGAAAGGCCTGTAAACGGTGAAAATTTGACCTTTGACCTGACCTGTGACGTCATCGGTTTGACCTAGGTCAATAAAATTGGGTCACAAGGCAGTTCCCTGATAGGGCTATCCAAAACCGTTTGCCGCTTGTCGCTAGGTTGCGTGGTTCTCGAGATCTTAGGGGGAAGGGGCCAAAATGCCCCCCCCCCATCGGGGCGCGTTGCTCGGCAGAGCCCAACGGGGCGCGGGTTAAAATATGAAAATATCATGTGATGCATGTTTTATGGTCCATGTTATATGCCAAATGCGATAATATAGGTCAGGCAGCCTTTTTGGCCTGTTTAGATTATGGTTTGGTGAAGCTCAGGTTAAGGTGAAGTTATTCAAATTAGGTCAAATTTCGAAGTTGATATTTTTGCATAAAATTGGTATCGATTCGATGCAACTCGTAACGAAGAGTTCAATGGGGGTCTTTGTTTCGCGCTAGGTGGTCTAGAACTGATAAAAATGAGTTCAAAAATTTGACGTCATCAATTTTGAACATTTCTTCGCTATATAACTTGGCCAAAAAGGGAGGTATCGATCTAAAATTTGGTATGTAGATAGAAGAGCGCAGGGAATATCACATGGATTATGTTTTTTCGAAATTCGGAAAAAAAAACTTGGCATTTTTTGCGTTAAAAAAACTTTTTTTTACATTTTTTATTTAGCAAACAATTTTTTATTTTTGTGTGTAAAAATCCAAAATTTTGCAAATCCGAGATAGCAGTTTTGTAGTGCCGTCTTTGCTCTACATGACCATATAATGAGCTTTTACATTACTTTGTGACTGTAGCTTTTGTGAGCGTTTCAAGATTTAATTTTTTTGCACATTTTTGCTCGAGCATGACCTCAGTTTGTCCTCAACAACTCCTGACCTACTATGAACGTCAAACCCCTTGAGACCCCACTTTTTTGCGATAATTTTTAAATGCGTCAACTTTCGTTGACAATATTCTGGCAATGTATGTTTCAGAACCTGCCGAAACTTTTATTACTAAGGTATTTTGACGCCAAACGATTATGGAAGGTACTTCTCATTCACTCGTAATGCTAAGGTCAATTCAGGCCCGGGCAGAGGCTTGCGCTCGGCCACACTCGAGCACCGCCACCAGCGCCATCTGCTCTAAATGCCATCTACTAGCGCCCGCTACCGCTACCAGCTACCGCCCACCATCAAGCCTGAATGGAGCGAGAGACGCGAGTGACCGGTCGCCGGGCAAGGAGCGCCGGAGGGGTAGGGCGGAGCTTAGCGCTGACGTCATTACGTGGCTCCGCCCCGTGAGCGCGTAGCCTCTACCCAAACAGCAGATTCGTTCCGTGAAATTTAACATTACGAGTGAATGAGAAGTACCTTTCATAATCGTTTGGCGTCAAAATACCTTAGTAATAAAAGTTTCGGCAGGTTCTGAAACACACATTGCCAGAATATTGTCAACGAGAGTTGACACATTTAAAAATTATCGCAAAAAAGTAGGGTCTCAAGGGGTTTGACGTCCATAGTAAGTTGTTCTTCTTATCGTAAATTTCGAGACGTTTTAGTAAAATCATAAAATGCACTTGGAACAATTTTATTGTATCCCTGGTACAATATAGTACTCATTTATACAACTAGACGACTTGAAGTCTTAAAATTTTATTTCCTCGAAATTTCTCATCATCCTCTAAAAAGAAAACATAGCAAAAACGTTCATTCTTTATTTGAAATGCGTCACTCCTGGGTCAGGCATCACAATGTGCTATTAAATACTAAATTGCCCAAGTGGGTGGTGTTACCCAAGGAGCTGCATTTCTCTATTTAAAAAAAAAATCATTCAATATGGCAGCAGGACAAAAACAGCGCTCGAGCAGAAGCACGAAATGTTTGGATGAGTCCTAATTATGACAAAAAATACTACTTCAGGGACTATTGTCTTTCAAATAAAATAATTTTTCTTCTACTAATTATGCTACAAAATGTAAAAATTATTCACAAAGCGTAAAATTCGGAATTTATCACAAATTACCTAAAACATGCGGTGCACTGTCCATACCTGCACTTCTGTTGACTTCACACTGCCAAAAGACAGTCAGCTGTTGCCCAAGACCTTTTCATATTTCTGATATCGGGTTGGGCGGTATTCCTCAAAGGGCGGTGTTCTCCCATCTTTCCCTATTCATAGCATGCAACTATTCAGTCGATAGTTGCATGATGGCTTAGGCTTTTCTATACTGTTATTTGAGATGGATATTTTTTCATTTGGTACGTTCAGTTTGGTGAGTTTTATCGGGCCGAAAAGAATCAGAAAAGAAAAGAGTTGAAATGGCCCCAGAAAAATGACCAAAAAATATTTTCTTAAAAATGAAACTTTGCTTTACATTTATAGCCGACAATTATGACTTTATTGAAAGGATATTGGGGGAAAATAATGGGGAAAGATGTTATCGCGCTTGTCTGTGTTGCAGTAGAAGGAAAGCTTTTGGTTCGCGTCTAGATAAAACCAGACCGGGAGTAGGGCTCGAACCCACGACATCGCATTCAGCTCACAGGTTACCCAACCTCAACGCTACGAGCACAGGTATCGCCCCGCGCAGCTTGCTCGGTGTTTCGGACTTAAGTCCGGCCAAAGTGTCTGACGTCTGTCAAGTCAATGTCAAGAGGCGAAACCCAGGGTTGAATGTCCGTCCCGGTGACTCAGTTGGTAGAGCATTGGACTCCGTGTGTTGAGAGCGCACGTCCCGGTTGTAGAAGTCCGCGTTCGAAACGCGACGTGTGCTCGACGTTTTTCGGCCTCCTGCCGGGTATGGTTGTGATTGATGGCAGGCCGCTGTCAGGCGAAGTCAGTGAGGGGACGGGCCGTGCGCGGCTATGTGCGCACGTTAAAATTTTGACTCTAAATTCTGCCATAGACCAGCAATTGCTTGATCGGAGGGTAGAGGGCAGGGCCAACGCAATCGGCTCAGCTTAGCGGGGACTGTGTCCTTGCGATTCCTTTCATTCAACAGTTTCGGACCAAATTTATAATAAAACAAGGGGGAGCCGGACCAGGGTGGACCGGAGCCTTACACACAAACATGGTCCGACAAAACAGAAGCTAATTTCGGGTCAAATATTTTCATCAACTGATCTTATTGTTTTTTTTAGCTTACATTTAGCTTTTTTTAATTCAAGACTTCCCGCACAAAAATGTGGCATTCGTCCACTTTTCCTCGCCTTCTCTTAGCTACTTGATTTGACCTTAAACTTACCAGCAAAAAAAAAAAAATCACCTGCGTGATAATTATTTGCCCAATGGCGCCCTACGCAAGAAACGCCAGCCGGTCAAAAAACTGGCGAACGATACGATCTTTCTAGTGCTTGAATTATATTCAATGAAAATTTCAGGAGACGTAAATAATATTAATCCTTATAGCTTCTGGTCGCCTGGAGCATTCGCTAGCATTCCATTGCCAGCTGCAATACTAACATCGCATTTGCATTACTTTGGGTGCATCATAGTTGACAGTAGATGAACCGGCCACAGCAAGCCCATGCATCATTATCCTTTCCTTCCAAGCAGTCAAGCTAACCGGCCGCCCGGCCCACCACCGCGATATGGAACAACGCTGAAGTGCACCATTTGCCTGCGGCAGTGCCCCACCGCGCCATGTCTGTTTGACAGGTCACCCGCGCCGTGACCTCTCCATCCCCCCCCCGCCCACTTCCCCATCGGGCCCAGCTCGGTAGTGACCTCTCTCTGAATTTGACATGGACTCGACTAAGGCTCAACGCCATCTAGTTACGTCTGGAGATCCTTACTAGATCCACTGTATGTACATACATACGTCAGAAGAACCATGGAGATCGAACACAGCAGTCTAGGCTCTGGAGTCTGGATCACCGAGCTTATCACGAAGGCCCGAGTCTCCGACAGCGCATCAACGATTTGCTTGGTACGGCTGCCGATAACGTTTTAATTAAGTCTGTCTGTGTGTAAAGAAGAGGGCACTCGGGTGCCGAATGGAATGTGTTAGATCAGATTCAGATGACTTTTGGGGGAAAGGGGCTGCCGGTACGTTACCTTGCATTGTTAGTGCCCCTTGGCCTATACACTTATACAGTAACACAGAAACGTCAGCCAAGGCCCTATGTAGGTAGAGGTGCCACTTCAACAACAGCCATATTCCATACTGTCATACCTATCCACAAGGCGCTTCTGAATTTTACGTCCTAACCAATTAACCCTCAGTGACCTTATCTCTGTGACCTGACCCGGTATCAGTGACCTCAAATAGAAAAATATGTGTTTGACAATCAATTCCCCATCGATGATTTTTAAATGAAATGCATTTCACTCGATTTTCGAAAATTCGACATCTGACCTGACCTGTGACGTCATCAGTTTAACCTAGGTCAATGAAATTGGGTCACAAAGTACTTCCCTGTTGGGGCTATCCAACACTGTGTGCTGCTTGTCGCTATGTTGCGTGGTTCTCGAGATTTTAGGGGGTGGGTGCAAATTCCCCCCCCCCCCCCAACAGGGCGCATTGCTCGGCAGACCCCAACGGGGCGCGGGTTAACCCGCGCCGGGCCGGAGGGTGTTTGAACACCCCCCCTTGCGGTTTTTCGCAGATATCTCAAAAACGGCGGCGCTTGTGCATCTTTTCCGCACATGTTGTGAAACTTTCAGACCCAGGTCACCTTAGATCAGCTCACCAGGTCACGCCAAGTGACCTCACCTCAGAAAAAATAAGAATGCTCGTCATAGCTACACCGACTGAACGATTGCCTTGAAACTTTCAGCAGTTGATAAGAGCAACATTATCTATAAAATGTATGTCTCGGAATTTTGCTATCGATGACCTAAGGTCAGGTCAATTTTGCGGCCTCTCCATTATAAGTCAATGGGAGAAAATTAAACAGCGTCTGTTTTGCACGAACGCTATTCTAGACACTCTCAAACATCGAGATGTAGGTAAAACTGACACACTGAACCGGAAAATGGCAACTGTGACCCCTCGTTATGTCCCCGAGGTCATATCAGGTCACGAACAGAATCTGACAGTTTTTCGCTAATAACTTCTGATAGAGGCGTGCTAGAGCGCTGAAAACGCCTTAGATGTGTTCGGCTCGACGTTGCGGATCGACTGATGCAGCATGTCTTTTTCCGGTCAGGTCATGACCTGGACCTGAGGTAAAATTTTCAAGTTGACCTTTCGAGGTCATTCGACGCGTCTCGACGAGAGGAACACGATGCTGGCAAAAGTAATGTCATGGCTTTTTGAGTCAAAAGTTATTGCCGAAAAAACACTTTTCGTAAAAACGGCTATTTTTGGAGTTTTTGCCCGACCTGAGGTCAAATCTGAGAGCAATGTTCAGAAAGGTCGGTAAAAGGGCTCAATCGAATGCGCTTTTCCGCGGCGCTGTATCTCTATCGGTTCCCGAGATAGCCGTCAGCAGTTTCCAAAATGTTGAAATGTTCACAACATTTTACCTTTGGTGACCTCTGGTGACCTAACCTTTGACCTGACCCAAAAAAAAATGACCTAAGTGTTTTCTTCCTTATTTTGGACGTCCTTTCGATTGCCGCTTACCGCGTGTCGCTACGTGGCCCAGGAGCCGAGTTAGAAGGGGGGTGTTCAGACGCCCCCCCCCCCCCCCAGGCCCGGCGCGGAATCTCGGAGCACCGGCCCGGCGCGGGTTAATGACACGTTCTGTGACAGCCTGGGAATGGGCTTATAGCTTCCATCGATAGGTACATGTCTTGCGTGTCAGGAAGTGTTTTCCCACATTATTAAATGATCATTTACCAGCATCGGGGCACGAAGTAGGCAAAAAATCACATTTGTGGCGTTTGCACGCCTCTCCTTCCCCACCTACCTGAGCCAAACAACCACCAAGAAGGCACAGCGAACGACGAATGCCATTGCGACCTAAGACAGGCGATCACCGTCGTCACCCTGAGGCAGGGAAGAGGCCAGCTTGCTGTGTCTTTTTTGAATCAAACAGGCTGGCCAGTTATATCCGCTGCGCACTGCTCTCGGCGTTCACATTCTTCTCGTCGCTGTCCGTTGTCCTTCCTCGCAGTGCCCGTCGATACCGTCGCTGTCCGTCAGAGCTGTGCCCTCAGACCTGTTGCTGATCGTCCCAGCGCCGTCCTCCTCGGGCTTCCCGTCGCAGCTGGTCCCGCCTCGCCGTCGGCAGCAGCACGCGGACTGACGTAGCCACTGCCTCGGCGCTACCTGTCGCCTGGTTAGCAGCCCGAGGCAGCGACGGCGTCGGTGGAGGGAAGGGGGGACGGACACCCCATTGGCTGACACCGACTCGGCCTAAACGTGCAATGCGGATGTGGGCATGTATGTGCGTGTGCCTTAGGCAGCACTACAGCACCGCCGAACCTGAGTTGGTTCGGCCCTATGGCCTATATGTTCATATTACGCAATGCGTACAGGGCAGGCCCTCGCCCGTATAGGGGGGGGGGGGGGGTCGAACGGACCCCCCTCGGTTTTTCGCGAATAACTCGCGTAAAAGCGGCAGATCGCGACGAAACTTTCAGTACACTCGCGTCAATCAATTTTACACCTACCCTGTAATTTTCATGACCCTGACCCTAATGACCTTTGACCTGTGACCTACTTTTCGAGACCATGTTTGGCCGGAATCGCGATTCGGCGTATGTCGGCTCGCATTAGCCGCGCGTTTGCAGTCTTTTCGTGGTTTTAAGCGTTCAAACATGGGATATGATGTTGCTCCCATGCATTAGGGTGGTTTTTGGCACACCTGTTTGTGCATCTTTTCCGCACATGTTGTGAAAATTTCAGACCCAGGTCGCCTTAGGTCAGGTCACCAGGTCACGCAAAGTGACCTCACCTCAGAAAAAATAAGAATGCTCGTCATAGCTACACCGATTGATCGATTGCCTTGAAACTTTCGGCGATTGATAAAAGCAACATTATCTATAAAAAAAAATCATCTCGGAATTTTGATATCGGTGACCTAAGGTCAGGTCAATTTTGCGGCCTCTCCATTACCTATAAAGTCAATGGGAAAGCGTCTGTTTTGCACGAACGCTATTCTAGACACTCTCAAACATCGAGATGTATGTAAAATTGACACACTGAACCGGAAAATGGCAACTGTGACCCCTCGTTATGTCCCCGAGGTCATCTCAGGTCACGAACAGGATCTAACAGTTTTTCGCTAATAACTTCTGATAGAGGCGTGCTAGAGCGCTCAAAACACCTAAGATGTGTTCGGCTCGACGTTGCAGATCGACTGATATGCAACATGACCTTTTCCGGTCAGGTTATGACCTTGACCTGAGGTCAAATTTTCAAGTTGACTTTTCAAGGTCAAATTATAGTTCATTCGACGCGTCTCGGCGAGAGGAACACGATGCTGGCAAAAGTAATGTCATGGCTCTTTGAGTCAAAAGTTATTGCTGAAAAACACTTTTCGTAAAACGGCTATTTTTGGAGTTTTTGCCCTCTGGAGGCTTAACCGTTGACCTGAGGTCAAATGTGAGAACATTTACAGAAAGGTCTGTAAAAGGGCTATCGAATGCGCTTTTCCGCGGCGCTGTAGCTTTATCGGTTCCCGAGATAGCCGTTGGCAGTTTCCAAAATGTTGAAATAGTCAACATTTTACCTTTGGTGACCTCTGGTGACCTGACCTTTGACCTGACCCAAAAAATGATCGAAGTGTTTTCGTCCTTATTTTGAACGTTCTTTCGATTGCCGCTTAGTGTCGCTACGTGGCCCAGGAGCCGAGTTAGAAGGTGTTCAGACACACTCCCCCCGGCCCGGCGCGGAATCTCAGAGCACCGGCCCGGCGCGGGCTAAGATCCGCCTTGTTGAGAGCTTTCGATTGCCGTTTTCCCCGTCTTTCTACGGCCATCGGTTCGGAAGTTAGACAGGGGGCGCCCCCCCCCCCCCCCCAGCAGGGCGCGTATGGCTGAATACAATGGCGGATCCAGCTCAGAGTTTTTTTTTTGGGGGGGGGGCGTAAACCATAACAACTTATCGATTCTTTCCATGCCTCGTCCATAGGCGTAATGTTAAAACCAGTATAACGCCTTTTGGGGCGACTAACGGAGCGAGCGAGAGGGTGGGCCTTGCACGTGCGAAATTGCGAGGGGATACCTCCAACTGACTTGTGCACGGCACCCTACTAACCGGTCTCTAGCGATGTGCCAAATTTGGGCACAATCGGCCCAGTCGTTCTCGAGATCTAGAAATGGCACCCTGCACGTGCGCACGTGCAAAATGGGTCCCAACTGACTTGTGCACGGCACCCTACTAGCCGGTCCCTAACTGTGTACCAAATTTGAGCGCAATCGGTCGAGCCGTTCTCGAGATCTGGAAACGACCCCTGCACGTGCGCACGTGCAGCAGCACCCCAACTCCGGCACATGGATATGCAGTGCCTAGTGGGTACCTACCTACCTACATGCCAACTTTCAGCGCAATCGGCCAAGTAGTAACCAAGATATTGCAACAATTACAAAACTGACACCATATAAGGCATAAGGGGTCACCCACATGCTTCGGGAATAGTCCAATACTTGGAAGAAGGAATGAAGCTATCCTATTACCGCATGTAAATCGGTCAAGTGGTTGCTGAGATTAGAGATATAAGCCTCGCAAAAGCGTCCGCACGGCCGGCCGGCCGCTCATGCTCAGAAATTTCCGTTAATCTAAGGAAAGACTACGCTCGCTTCGTTCGCTCCGTAATTATGCCGTTTGGGAGGGGCAAATGCCCATTTTGCCCAATGCCCTCCCCCCTGGATCCACCACTGGCTGAATAGTGAATAGCCCAGAGGGGCGCGCGCGGGGGTTAACCCACGCCTGCAAATGCCATTTCCCATCCTAGAACGCACGGAGGGGGGATTTCCATGTCCTGTGATGACCTGACCCTGACCTGAAAATCAAAGTTCAAGTTTGGTACCCTAGAAGCATCTGTTCACGAGTGTGTAAACCAAAAATGAGCCTGATCTGACTTGTAAGACGGCGGCCAGAGCCCAAAATCTGAACAAGCTAAAATGCTAATAATTTTTTACTTTGACCTGACCTGTGACGTCATCGGTGACCTCGAGGTCAATGAAATTAGGTTTCGCGCGACAGTTGTTCCGGGGCTATCAGACACCGTTTGACTTTTGACGATCGGCCCAGTAGTTTCAGACTTAGGAGGGGGGCCGGGGGGGGGGGCTACGAAGAGCTCCCCTCAGTAGGGCGCGTTATACGCAGACCCCAGTGGGGCGCGGGTCAAGGTCTTAGGTCATTGGTTGACCTTCCAGGTCAGGTCAATGACTCAAAAGTCCGCAAAATCGGGACCTGTCAGAAAGTCGTAAAGTGTGGCTGCTATGGGGTTTTTCGGGGTGCTGATCACGAATATCGTGTTAGTTTTGATCACAGATAATGTTTTTAAGTATTTAGACCAGGTCTGGTCAGGTCAGGTCAGGCCAGCCAGTAGGGGTCGTGACGGGTATTCGTAGTAGGGTATACCGGGGCAAGTCGCCCTGCCGAGGTAAAACGCCTCACCGATGTTTCTCGGAACTGGCAAGGTTCTGGGGAAACATTCTCTCTTCTATAAAACGTGCACTATATGATTATTATATGAGCAGACTGGAAAGATATTGTGATAACTCTTTAGGGAGATATAGCCAAAAATTTGTTTTTGGAGTGATTTTTATGTTTTGTAGTCAGATTACGCATCATGGCGTTCTTTTATGGTTCACATCAGGTTAACGACTTTTATGTATTTTGAACAACTATCGTCTAGCGCTTATAATGCTGGGTTGGTCCGTTTTAAATTATGTCTTGCTGGAGTGCAAGGCGTTGTTCTCTGACCAAACTACGTGATGGGGTAAAACGCCCCAGTAGGTCGCGGGGCAAAAAGCCCCATGGGGCGTTTTACCTCATGTGTTGTTCCGACTACCCACTTCCTAATGTTCGGTTGCTGGCGAACAGTAAGTTTCTATGCAATTTTATGTACCTTTTTCAGCAAATTAATGACAAAGGAAGTATTTCGTTAACATTTGCATTGCAATAATTTATTATTTGGCCTTATGAGGCAGGTGAAAAACCTGTACATACAATAGTGTCATAGCTGAACACCTGACAGGATGGAAGGTGCTAACTTCAGTGCCGTGCCTCCCAAGGTCTAACGGGCCTCTCATATAAGATTTAGTCAACTAGCATGTTTAATCTTTAATCTAGATATGGGGCGTCTTGCCCCAGGCCGTGGGGCGTTTTGCCCTGGGGTTGGGGCAAAATGCCCCATTTGCAGTTCCTTCACAAATCACTTCCTAGCTGGGAGTCCGATCATAAATGAATGAATTTGAGGGGTGGAATTTAAAGTAAAATGTCCAAAGAACGCATTAGCACAAATTTGGCCTTCCAGGTGATGTGGGACAAAAGTTATGTAGCAAAATAAACCAGTATAACGCCTTTTGGGGCGACTAACGGAGCGAGCGAGGGGGTGGGTCTTGCACGTGCGAAATTTCGAGGGGGTACCTCCAACTGACTTGTGCACGGCACCCTACTGACTGGTCTCTAGCGATGTGCCAAATTTGGGCACAATCGGCCCAGCCGTTCTCGAGATCTGGAAGCGGCACCCTGCACGTGCGCACGTGCAAAATGGGTCCCAACTGACTTGTGCACGGCACCCTAGTAACCGGTCCCTAACTGTGTACCAAATTTGAGCGCAATCGGTCGAGCCGTTCTCGAGATCTGGAAACGACCCCTGCACGTGCGCACGTGCAGCAGCACCCCAACTCTGGCACATGGATATGCAGTGCCTAGTGGGTGCCTACCTACATGCCAACTTTCAGCGCAATCGGCCAAGTAGTTACCGAGATATTGCAACAATTACAAAAGTGACACCTCTTCGTTTTGCACGTGGCACGTGCATAAGGGGTCACCCACATGCATCGGGAATAGTCCAATACTTGGTAGAAGGAATGAAGCTACCCTACAAAAATTACCGCGTGTAAATCGGCCAAGTGGTTGCTGAGATATAAGCCTCGCAAAAGCGTCCGCACGGCCGGCCGGCCGGCCGGCCGGCCGCTCATACTCAGAAATTTCCGTTAATTCTACGTAAGACTCCGCTCGCTTCGCTCGCTCCGTAATTATCTGGGGCGTCTTGCCCCAGGCTACCCTAGGTGTCAACCGGCTCTGACAGCTTCGTAACATGCTACAAAGGCACCAAAACTACTTCGTAAATGCTCAAATGGCTTCTAAATTCGAATTCAGCTCCAAAAACTAGCCTAGAAACATGTAAAACTCGAGAAAGTGAACCGAGGTCACCAAAGGTCAATGACCTGAACTGACCTTCAGGTGACCTTGACATCCACCCTAATGCATGGGAGGCGGGAGCAACATCGAATCACATGTTTGAATGTTTGAAACCACGAAAAGCTTGCAAACGCGCGGCTAATGTGAGCCGACTTAGCCAAATCGCGATTACGGCCTCTAGACATGGCCTCGAGAAATAGGTCACTTCACAGGTCAAAGGTCATTTGGGTTAGGGTCATGAAATTTTCAGAGTAGGTGTAAAATTGATCAACGCGAGGAGGGTACATGTCGTGATCGGCCGCTTTTTGCGCGAGTTATTCGCGAAAAACCATGGGGGAGTCCATCCAACCCCCCCCCCCCTATACATATATATGCGAATGATAATCTGCTGCTAGATTGACGGTGTCAGCGTTTGTCAGTGTCGTGCCGTTTCTGACCTCTGATTGGTTGATTCTCGTTTACCCGCTAAAGCTTAATACAGGCATAGCGATTGAACAGGAATTGTCGATGATCCTCCAAGAACGTCTAGCATGTGTTTTTAGTGTGAAAACACGGACCTTAGCCCTTAGCCCTTAGCCCTTAGTTTCTTAGGTACTCTCTTAGCAGACGTCACCCCAATTGCCGGATCTAATGGCCAGCTGAAAAATCTAGAGACTTTTTGAAAAGTCTCTAAATGGGCAGGAAAATCACCCCAGGGGTCAATTAGGGGGCGGGGAACACGAATATGACACTTATTTTGGTCTAACTCCCCTTCTTCATCCCTTAATCCTCCCTTAAAGGACGGGGCGCGTCAAAAGTGCCTCAAGGATTCGTCTGATCGCCAAAATAAGGGTCGCAATCGATTCCTCGCGTCAATATGTGGCCGCAGCCTCACGTTCCAGATGTGTGCAGCGTATCCCTTATCCCTTAATCGTCCCTTAAAGGACGGGACGCGTTGGTGCCTCAAGGGTTCGTCTGATCGCTAAAATAAGGGTCGCAATCGATTCCTCAGGTCAATATCTAGCCGTGGCTTCGGCTTCCAGATGTGTGTAGACTGCAGCGTATCTCTTATTCCTTAATCGTCCCTTAAAGGGACCCTCCCACCTTCAAAAAAGTTAATGAATTGGCATGAAAGTGATGTCGCTCGGTTCAGAAAGAGCAAAAACGAATATCTACCAAATTTCATCGAAAAATATTCACCAGTTTTCAAGATATTAGACCTTTACTTTTGTTTACTTTTTGGGATCTCCGCTGTTCCTAGCGACTTTATTTGAAAGTGCGGCATTTGTTGCGCGCAAAGCAGCATATACCACCGCGTGCTACAAAACGTTTTAGTCAAACATTTAACGGACGTTCGAAAGCCTAATGACGTCATCAGATTCCCGTAATGGTTAAGAGATAGGGACCACGCTGGTCCCACCCTGCAAGTAAAGGGAAGAAATTTCTTGAACACCATAAAGCTGCGGGGGTTGCGACCAGGATAAATGGTGGTTTCTGAGCCTGGCCGCAAACTTGGCTATTTCAACTCAAAACTAATATTAAGGTGGGAGGGTCCCTTTAAAGGACGGCGTTAGGCGGCACGGGCGGACGTCGATAGCAGCGCCTCTATCGGTCACTAGGGAAAGCTGGGCTGTAGGCGACGAAATACCGGCTGAGTTGTCACAAGTTAAATAGGTTTATAGACATCTGTCTTGTGAAAAAGTTGAACTTTTGCCTTCAATACTTCTACAGGCAATTTTAGAAGTGCCTTCACATAGATTACAAAACCGTTTAAATTACTTTATTCACTTCAAGCCTTCCCTATTGTTCTTGATAATGCGGGAACTATTTCTAATTAGTGTTTCTAGCTTAGAGTAAAAGAACATATTGTGCAAACGATGAAAAAAGCATAAATGGAAGATTTTAAATGCAATTTTCTGTAACAAATAATGGTAAATTCTCTACACATCAAGGAAAAGGTGCATGCTAACTGATAATTTAAAGTTCTTGGGGCCAGTTGGTTTCTTCTTTTCTTACGTCGCCCCAATGGCCGCGAATACATTTGTGATAACGCCTATCGGGGCGCGTCATAAGTGCCTCAAGGGCTCGTCTGATCGCCAAAATAAGGGTCGCAATCGATTCCTCGGGTCGATATCTAGCCGCAGCCTCACGTTCCTGATGTGTGCAGCGTATCCCTTATCCCTTAATCGTCCCTTGAAGGACGGGGCGCGTTAAAAGTGCCTGAAGGGTTCGTTTGATCGCCCCCCTCCCTACGGAGCGCGATTTAAGGGGCATTTAAGGGGTAAGGGACCGGTGCCAAACATCTGGACTGGAACCCAAAACTGCGGCTAGATGTCGACCCGAGGAATCGATTGCGACCATTATTTTGGCGATCAGACGACACCTTGAGGCACATTTGACGCGCTCCTTCCTTTAAAGGGGCGATTAAGGGTCCAGGGACCGGTGCCAAACACCTGGATCCCGAGGCTGCGGCTAGATATTGACCCGAGGAATCGATTGCGACCATTATTTTGGCGATCAGACGAAAACTTGAGGCACTTTTGACGCGCCCCTTCCTTTTAGGGGCGACTAAGGGGTAAGGGACCGGTGCCACACATCTGGAACCCAAAACTGCGGCTAGATATCAACCCGAGGAATCGATTACGACCATTATTTTGGCGATCAGACGACGCCTTGAGGCACTTTTGACGCGCCCCGTCCTTTAAGGGACGATTAAGGAATAAGGGTTACGCTGCAGTCTGCACACATCTCGAACGTGAAGCCACGGCTAGGTATTGGCCTGAGGAATCGATTGCGATCCTTATTTTGGCGATTAGACGAACCCTGGACGATTAAGGGATAAGGGATACGCTGCACACATCAGGAACGTGAGGTTGCGGCTAGATATCGACCTGAGGAATCGATTGCGACCCTTATTTTGGCGATCAGACGAACCCTTGAGGCACTTTTGACGCGTCCCTTCATTTAAGGGGCATTTAAGGGGTAAGGGACCGGTGCCACACATCTGGAACCCAACGCTGCGGCTAGATATCGACCCGAGGAATCGATCGCGTTCATTATTTTGGTGATCAGACGGACCCTTGAGGCACTTTTGACGCTTCCCGTCCTTTAAGGGACGAGTAAGTGATAAGGGATACGCTGCACACATCTGGAACGTAAGGCTGAGGCCAGATATTGACGCGAGGAATCGATTGCAACACTTATTTTGGCGATCAGACGAACTCTTGAATCACTTTTAACGCGCCTCGTCCTTTAAGGGAGGATTAAGGGATGAAGGAGGGGAGTTAGGTTAGGCCAAAATAAGAGTTAGGCCAAAATAAGTGTCAAATTCGTGTTCCCCGCCCCCTAATTGACCCCTGGGGTGATTTTCCTGCCCATTTAGAGACTTTTCAAAAAGTCTCTAGATTTTTCAGCTGGCCATTAGATCTGGCAATTGAGGTGACGTCTGCTAAGAGAGTACCGTTTCAGTTTTCTTATAGGTATCTTGCCTTAGCCTACAGCACAGCGAGTCACGGACGGTCATAGAATACACGGAATACACAGCGAGTAAACTTAACAATTTTGTGATTGTTTTTACGGCTTTGAAAGTTTGTTGGACGCAAGGCAGTATACCGTTGTTGTTTTTACGGCTTTGAAAGTTTGTTGGACGCAAGGCAGTGTACCGTTGGACGCCTGGGTCTCAAGGCTGAGCGTCCTAACCCAGCAAGCAAGCAAGGCTTCGAAAGTCAGCTTCATTTTGATTGGTAGGTATGTAAACGTCTGGTTATTATTTGGCTTCATGCGTGCTCACCTCCCTGAGTAAATGTGCAGCTTTTCTTTCTATCAGGGCCTCGGCTAAGGAATTTTGACTACTGGGGCAAATCGTTAACGTGTGTTGCCGTTGGCGCCCTGCTGGGGGGGGGGAGGTGTTTGAACACCTGCGGTTTTCCTGTGTTTTTTTTTTCGCGGATATCTCAAAAGCGGCGGCGCTCCATCATCCAACAATTCTACACGTGTTGTAAAAATTTCAGATCAAGGTCATTCAAGATCAGGTCACCGGTTCACTTCAAGTGACCTCACTTCATAAAATGTTTCAATGTAGGTATGCCGTAGCTACACCGAGTGACCGATCGCTTTGAAACTTTCAGCGATTGATAGGGCAACAGCATGTACAAAATTTATATGTCGGAATTTTCATATCGGTGACCTAAGGTCAGCTCAATTTTGCGACCTCTATTAGAAGTCAATGGAAGAAAATTCAAAACCACCTCTTTTGGACGAAAGTCATTCTAAAGACTATAAAACACCGTACGTGACTTTGACACACTGAACATGAAAATAGCACCCGTGACCCTTACTTATGCCACTGAGGTAATCTCAGTTCACGAATGGTAGGGGAGAGTGGGGTAAGATGCCCAGGGTGGGAAAGACGCCCCACCCCCTCTAGCGGGGAAACAAAGAATCGAACCTGGAAATTAATGTTCTTAGCGTTAAGCAGAAGCCTGCCTTGTTAACTGCACAAAAATTTGCGAAGCTCAGTTGGGCAACGGCTGGCTGGTGATTGCATGTTTTTTATTTGCTGCTTTCAAAAAATATTTTGGCGTCAAAACATTGTAAATATCAAAAAAGGTAGATAATTTTTGCGTCCCTTGCTATAGTCGTGATACATTAACATGCGTGTACTGTGTCCCAAACAGTTTGTTTCAGGGTGTAGTTTTATGGCTAACAAATTGTGCTGATTTAATGTTACTTCGGTACCTTGGGGTAAGATGCCCCCTGTCGTATCGTTATCCGTAACTGGCAGCGTTTTAGTGTGACCAGCATTACGGGTAGTCAGCTGTTTGTGGTGTTGTTTACATCAGTCAGTGCCCGGCCCCGGCCAAGGTCGGAAGTACTGAGATGTACTGTTCAGTGTTAACGTTGGATCGCTGAGAAGAATACAGCGTCAGCCAGAACTGCCAGTCTGTCACGAGACCACGATGTAACAACGTGGCGACGAAGATGAGATTTATTTGCTTTAAGTCGTGGTAATCGTGAGGCGGCCGGAAGAGGCCAAAAAGATGGCGCCGACAGGACAGACGCCAGTGAAGTTCGCGGTCCGAGTGGTAGCGCGAGGACGGCGCAGGGTCTGGAGTGGACACTAAAGTGCGCACGTGTGTAGCCGATGACCGGGGCGTGTCAGTCGCGGTGGAACGGGCCGGTTGCCTGTTGGGTTGTTCGCCGGGCGGTGGCCCAGAGTTTTGGCGGCGCTGGGCTGTGACAGCCATTACGGCGGTGTAAGAACCGGGCGGTGGTAGGCGCAGGATTAGAAAAGTTTCTTTGTTTTGTTGGTGTATGTTTTTTTTATTGATGCTGCTTGTCGGGTATACTGTTTGGTGATGTTTCTCGAAATATTGGCCGTTTTGTTATTGTTGGTGCAGCGAATGCCGCGCAGGGACGTGAACGCGGAAGCGGCGGCCGGCGGCGGCCTGTGATTGGTCGGCTCAGGTCGGCTGGCTGTGTCGAGCCCCGTGATTGGCTGGCCGGCGGGGGCCGGCGCGGGAAGCCAACTCGGCTTGGGGGGCCTGGTCCGGGTGCCGCGGCGGTGATCAGCTGGTCGGGTGCGGCGTGGGGGCAGCGAGGGGGCGGCGGCCCGGCTCTACAGCGGCGATCAGCTGTTCGGGTCCGACGACGTCATGGAGCTGGGAGCGGGACTGCAGGCAATGGCTGTGGCACCATACCGACAGGGCAGTGATTTTGAGAGATGGCTCAGGTCACTGGAGCGGTTTATGGTGGCGATGGGGGTCGAGAGCACGGCCCGAAAGTGCGCCCTACTGTTACACCTGGTTGGTCCCGATATCGCGGACCTCTCCGACTCGCTGCCGGAGGAGCCGGACGGCCAGGCGGCGGACGACGACTTCGTTCGACTGAAAACGAAACTGACGAAATACCTCGTACCCACAAGAAACGTCGTCGCGGAGCGCGGCAAATTCCAAGCGATGGCAATGGAAGAAAATGAAGACCTGGAGGTGTTCCTTGGTCGTCTCCGCGCGCAGGTGCAGCGCTGCGGGTACACGGCAGCGGAGGTGGAGCGTGAATTGCGCGACCGCTGCGTGCTGGCCAGCCGCGGAGAGCTACAGCAGAAGCTGGTGCGTGAGGCGGCGTTGAAGGGAGCTGGCCTCACCCTGGAGGACGTCCGGAGGACGGCGCGTGCGTTCCGAGACGTCAAGGATCTGGCAGCTCAGTTGGCGGGGGCGCCGGAGCCGGCGGCGGCGGGCGAGGACACAGTACAGGCGCTGCGACGCCCGCAGCGGCCCGAGGCCGGCCGGTCAGCCGTGCCCCCGGGCACGTGTTTCCGCTGCGGCGGCCGGGGGCACTGGCGGCGGGACTGCCCGACGGGCCGGACGGGCTCGGAGCCGGACGGAGCCCGGCCGGGCAGGTCAGCCGACGGCGGCGGCGGGAGAGACGGTGGCCGAGGCAGCTACCGTTACGGCGACGGCCCCGCGGCAAGAGCGGGACCGGAGCCGGGCGGCTCCCGAGCGTCCGGACGGCCGGACGGCGGTCGGCGGGTCGACATCGGACGCGGCAGCCCGCCCGGTGGCAGGAGCGGCGGCAGGCGCTGCTTCAAGTGCGGCGACACGGGACACCTGAAGCGGGACTGTCCTCAGCGCGGACAGGTGGCATCCGTGGAAGAAATCGTGATGGCGGTGGACCAGACAGCCACACGGCGCCGGGACCGTCTGCCGCTGGTCACGGTGTCCGTCAACGGCAGGCAGATGGAGATGCTGGTGGACACGGGGTCCCCGGTGTCGATCGTGGCGGTCGGCAGCATCCCGGGACTGGAGGTGAGACCGTCCGTGATGCAGCTCCGGTCATTCACAGGGCAGCCGGTGCCCGTGCGCGGCGAGGCCACGGTGGATGTGCTGTACGGCGGCCAGCGGAGGCGACTGGACGTGGTGGTGAGCAGCCAGCTGGGACACCGCCCGCTGCTGGGGCGGGACTGGCTGCAGGTGATCCGGCTGGACTGGCGGTCACTGTTCCAGGTCAGCGAGGTCGGCGGGGCAAGCGGCCGGCGGACGCTGGAGTCGGTGAAGGCGGCGCACGCGCAGGTGTTCGCGGACGGGCTCGGTGTCATGAGTCACCAGGCGCACCTGACGCTGAAGCCGGGCGCGGTGCCGCGGCGGCTGCCACCGCGCCCGGTGCCGTACGCGCTGCTGCCGCAGGTGGAGGCTGAGCTGGACCGGTGGGTCAGAGACGGCATCGCCAGGAAAGTGGATCCGTCGGAGACGAGCTCCGGCTGGGGCACACCACTGGTGCCGGTGCCGAAGCCGGGAGGCGGCGTGAGGCTCTGTGCGAGCTACAACCTCACGGTAAACCCGCAGCTGATAGTGAAAAACCATCCACTGCCGAAGCCAGAAGACGTGTTCGCAGGAGTGAGCGGCAAGCTCTTCTGCAAGCTGGACCTCAAGCACGCGTATCAGCAGATGCCGCTGGACGAGGAGTCGCAGCCGATGACGACCGTCAGCACGCACAAGGGCGAATTCGTCATGCGGCGGCTGCCGTTCGGAGTGGCCAGTTCCGGCGCGCTGTTTCAGGAGGCAATGGACCGGGTCCTGGAGGGACAAGACGGGTGCAGGTGCTACCTGGACGACCTGTTGGTGTTCGCGGAGGACGAACAGCAGCTTCTACAGCGTCTGGATGAAGTCCTGGGAAGGCTGGAGCGACAGGGGCTGCGGCTGGCGGCGCAGAAATGTCAGCTGGCGGTGTCGGAGGTCGAATTCCTGGGATGGAAAGTGACTGCGGACGGCATCGCCCCGACTGATGGCGGCGTGGCGGCGGTGCTGCAGGCGCCGGAGCCGAAGGATGTGAGCCAGCTGAGGTCACTGCTCGGCTCAATCACCTACTTCGGACGCCTGCTGCCGGACCTGTCCACGGTGCTGGCGCCGCTGTACCGGCTGACGAAGAAGGGCGTGCAATGGGAATGGTCACAGAAGTGCGCCGAGGCGGTCAACAAGGTCAAGCAGATGCTGACGAGCCCGCCGGTGCTCATGCGGTACGATCCGGACCTGCCGCTGAAATTGGTGACCGATGCCAGCAGTGTCGGCGTCGGAGCGGCGTTGGTGCACGTGACACCGAACGGAGCAGAGAGGCCCGTGATGTACGCGTCACGGACACTGACAGCAACCGAGAGGAAGTACGCTCAGGTCGAGCGAGAGGCGGCAGCCGTGTCGTATGGCGTGAGCAGATTTCATCGCTTCATCTATGGACGGCGTTTCACGCTGGTGGTCGACAACCGCGCCCTCTCGCGGATCCTGAGCCCCGACAGGGACCTACCGAGCCTGGCGGCGGCCCGCCTGCAGCGGTACGCGCTGCAACTGGCCGCGTACTCGTACAACGTGGAGCTGCGGCGCTCGGAGCAGATGCACGTGGCCGACAGCCTGTCACGGCTGGCAGTGCCGTGCTCAGGCACGGAGCTGAAGGAGATCGAGGCGGAGGCGGTGACCGGCAGCTACCTGATGTTCCTGGACGGCGTGGCGCCGGCGCTGACAGCGAGAGAGCTGGCGGCAGCATCAAGACGGGATCTGGTGCTGGCGAAGGTGCTGGCGTTCGTGCGCGGCGGCTGGCCCGCGACCGTGGAGCCGGAGCTGGAGCCGTTCAGGCGCCGCCGGGAAGAGCTCACCACCGACGGAGAGTGCCTCGTGTGGGGCGGTCGCGTGGTGGTGCCGCGGCGGCTGCAGGCGGCGGTGATGCGGGAGCTGCACGAGGGGCACCTCGGCAGCTCGAAAATG